CATCGGATTTAGAATCTAATAAAGAATCTTCGGATCTATTACCGCTAATGCGTCTAACTCTAATTCCTCTTCTATTTTTATATGATTTTGTATTCATATTTTGGGGGTATTTGATATATAAATTTGAAAATAGAAGAAAGCCCAACTATTATCCTAAATACACTCGAATCTACCACAATATCCCAATGTAACCTGAAAGTTACAAAACTGTATCATATACAAATAGTAACAAAATGATTATTGAAATGCAAATAAATAAATTGTTATTGATATACGAACCCAGAGATATTATATACGCTTTTTTTTATTTAGTAAACACCGACAAAAGCACAAATAATCTCAATTGCACAAAATGGTCCCTTTGGTTTCTGTCTGCAGACAACTTGCAAGGTATTTACTTTGACATTTCAGATTGATGGTGCTGCCAACCGTCATCAATATTGTTATTGGTTAATGCAAAGCCATTATATAATTAAGACGTATACATCATCTTGTGAAAAAAACTAAAATTATTTAGTAAAATGTGGATATATTAGCTTGTGACTTGAAAGTTACATGGGCCAATAGAGGCTTAACCAGGACTTATGTATTTCGTTAAGTACGCTTCTGTTCAAGTACAGGAAACCAGATGGAAAGTCCATTTTTATTGGTTTATAAGATGGATCGGACAGGTGCAAGCGACCGATGATGCTACACCTGCGCGAGTAGCCGTACAATGCGCAACGGATCAACCATTCCGCCTCGTTTCGCCTCGTTTCGCCCCGAGCAGACACGTTGTCCACGCGAACATTCAACAAAACGTACGTCTCGTCTGTCCGAGAGAGATTCAGAGATTCAGACTGCAAATAGACGCGCATTCGCGCCGCGTATTGCGCGACAATCAACGTGGATTTCGAAACGAATCGCAGAATTTTCATACGCGATCGTTCGCTGTTCCCAACGATTCAGTGCCGTCGGAATTGCACGTTGTAAAGTTGAGACGAGCTACGGGTACCCCGATAAGTCCATCCGACTTGTTCTTTTTTTCTCAAAACGGCGCCACGTAATGTGTCCGTTGTGCGGCAAAACCTGAAAGCAATAAAAAATTAAAGGGATGCATCAACGGTCAGAAACACTCGTTTCGAAACAAACGTCAACGATTTTTGTTTCGTATGTTTCAATTTCAAAAGGATATTTCAAAATCTTCGCAGTCTTGCGTCGCGTCGCGTTGGCCTGAAAGCGAGCGCGGTGATGCTGCTCGCCAGTTTCGTACCATAATTTATAAATTGCCACATTTACGTATTTGCGTCCATTTGTGTCTTCCTAGAAAATAATACACAGCCCGCTTATGGGCCGTGAACCGCCAGCACCGCGTAGCGGTAAACGGCTGAACTATGTCTCTTCTATAAGTATGTACAATGCAAGATGTGGCCATAGTGTTTCATGTCACATGCGCGGACATTTTTTGAAGTAACGTGTACATAAGTATAAATGAATAACTCCTGAACCAATAGGTCAAATCTAGTATTCTTGGCCTGAAATTGTTCGCAGCAATTCGGAATGTCGAGCCTAGATCACAGATTACGATAATTCGGTCTATTTACGCAGCCTTGAGCAATGCGCGGCAAATTTGAAATGTTCTACGGTAGAAAATGTAGAAATCCACGTTTGATGAATCCATGGTATTTCACGAACCGAGTATTGTACGATTGGGAAAAAATCATTTTTTAACATGTCCGTGTTTCCGTGTAAATTTTGAAACCTTTCCCGGTCTAATTGTAAATTCAAGTTAGACGGCCGACGATGCGGTCTAATGGAAACAAGGTAAAATGAAATGATAGTATCAATTTAGTGACGCATTGTTGCTTCTCGCAATGGATTTCGTTTCATACGATGCACATATTTTGTAACAAGTGGGCTGCAAGATACCGAAATATACGTTGTTAACAATGTTCGTATGGATATATATATATATATATATATATACATTAAACATGATTCAGTATAAACTGTCTAAACTGACCAAACAAATTTATACCATTATCTGTTTCTATTATAAAATTTATTTAATTGACGCTACTCCTGATCGAAACCCATTAAATGAATTTTTTAACATTCGTTGACTTTTCCTAGTCAAATTTAAGTAAAAATTAACTAAACCATAAAATTGTATCGATTATATTAAACAATTTTGGCCGAAATTGTTTAAACTGTCCATTCGTCTATTGATCTGTTGCCGTCAGTCGGCGTATCTTCGAATTTGTTCCATCGGTCAATAGAGTAGATTCCTACTTATCGACGGAGGGTACATTTTCGTGCACCCTGCAATGCGACCGAGTCACGTTCTTCTGTTTTCTTTTTTTATCGAAACAGCAAACACCGTGGCCCATTTTCATCGTCGCATGCTTCTTTTTCTCTCCGATGTTCCGAGTCCCGAGGTTCCTCCGGTCTAGCTCGTAAACAGATTACGAATGGGTCGACAGTTACGAAGACCCGATTATCGATGAACCACGAAATAAATGTCCGTAGTAGGAAACACACTCTGAACGAGAGAATTTAAGCGTCGGAAGGTTTATTCGATCTACGCATACTTATACATATACGTATACATGTGTACATATATATGTATACATATATAGTATAAAAGCGTCACACGTTATCAAAGCGTTATCAAATTTCATTATCGGCAATAAGAGTAACGGTCGAATTTAGCGAACATTAATTTTCGCGTTTCCAACGAGTAACGAGGCATTTTAACCATTGATTTTTTTCTTGGGGCCGCAGGCTATAGCAGAGCGTGCGCGTAATTTGCACGTGCATCGACTCTGTTCGATCTAAAAGCATTTTATTGAAAAGTCTACCGGAGTTTATATCGCATCGATACGTCAATTCTAGCAACAACGACGACACCAACGAGCGAAGAGCAACGAACAACAACGAGCAACAATATATTTGCGACCCGGGTCGGTTCGCTCGACGCGTGCTCGTTACGTTAGTTACGAGATACGCGCACCTACTCGATTTCCCTTCCGTTCGACCGCGCAAGATCGTCCACACTCGATCGAGTACAAAAACGATAAATTCTAATTACAAGACGGGAATGCCACACCGATGCGCCGTACGCGTTCCTCGAAAACGCGTATGCGCCAACCGGAGGGCGTAACACCGGCCGTAACACGGCGCTCGCGTTATCGAACAAGGCGAGAAAAGCTGAACATTCGACGATACCACGAGCAAAGATTCAATTAATCGTACATTTCTAACCGACTAAACTGATTCACTTCTGCTCGGTAGATCGGAGCTTGGAAAATCGATGGTCCGTCCTGCGTTCTCCCGAGGGAACGTGCCGCCACGGGGACTCAACTGCGACCGTGATACTTGCGGAGTTAACTGATTTCACGAGGAATCGGTCTGGATCGCTCGAACTGGCGTCAAACTGTTCTCGCTGGGGAATCGGTAACGGCCAACGCGTAGAAATTCTCGATATCGATGCCGATCTCGACGAAACCTCTCCGAAAGTGCCAACCGAATTTGGCTCCAGCTCGCGCATGTATGTAATCTCTTTCATCCCCTGTCGGTCGCGACGCCGCGTCTTCCTTCGATTCGAACGGCCAAAGCCTAAACGTATCGACGACTGCATCAACGGCAAACGTAACAGATTGATTTCTCGTTTACGACTCGACAAATATTCCATAAAACTGACGATGGTATTTCGTTTCAGCGGCCAACAGTATCATTTTTCCTGGCGCGACGCAACGTGGCAGCGGCACTGGACGTGGACGTGGACCTGGACGTGACGCGCGACTTTTCAACTCTTCCGTGTAGCGACAACCCACACCTACGTACAACATATACATCAATGAAAAGGAGAAATATAAATCTAACAGCGACGAATGAAACACGACCCACTCCCTATGAAACATTCTTTCATCTGGCCGTGTGTATTCGAGAACTCTTTCCAGAAAGTCTGCGATACGAATTTTCGAATTTGCGAATTTCCGTGTTCGCGAGTTAGCGAATGCTTGATTTAGCGAATTAGCGATTCACCGAATCAGCGAATTTCCGAATCGCCATGCTGGCGATAATCTACATTTCATCATTCTTGTTAGGCGGTCCCTCTTGATCGTGTTGCGGAGCGCCGTTCAGCCTCTTGCGTCAGCAACGGACAAATTGAGAACCGATAAATCGACCGATTTCACGAGATTAACGGCGATGCAACCGCGAACACCGTCGTCTCAATCAATTTAGAAAGTCGGAAACGATTAAAAGGTTCGCCGTCCGAGAGGACAACAGCGACTCTTCGCGTTGCATCCTTCTTCTTTCTCTCCTTCTCCCGTTCGTTTTCGCAGGCTTCCGTTCCTCTGCGTCTCGGGTATTCATCGTTTTACGGTTATCCTCGAACGCCGCTGTTTCTGCGAAAAAACAAAAAGCTCTCTTAGTCGAAGTTTTTGTTAGCTATGCGAGCGTACCGAGGCCGGGACAGGTAGCGTAGGTAATGTAGCTAGCGTTGGCAGCGTAGGTAGCATAGATAGCGTAAGTGCGAGACTTGTTCACATGCGCGACTAGCGACTAGCATGCCGCGATGCGTGCTGGGGCTCGCCGCACACTATGACGACTCACACATGCAAGAAAAGCATATTAGTCCACTAGAACTGACGCTTGAACCCCTTGACATACCATTTTCTTCGCAGTTACTGCGATTAGAAATTTTTCGATTCTAATAATTTCTTAGAAAGAAAAAGAAATTAATGCTTATTGTGCACCTAAATTTACTTGAATGCTTAAATATTGACGACAAAAGAATAGAATTTTATTGCAATTTTAAAGGACAAAATAACATCTATACTCGATGAGTTAATAATAGAAATTTTCATGACGAGTCGGACTCGTCAAAATACAGCAAGTGTGCAGTTCAGAAGTGGAAAATTTAGATTCCCGAAAGACTAACCTCGGGGGTTTCGGTCGTAGAAATGTCCGCTTTGTGGTTATTGTGGAGATATTTGCAATATTCGGCCAGCGTAGTGTGTCAATCTCACACGAGCATGACGTCACAATGTGGCCGCCGCTGACAGTTTTTCGTGAATATCGAGAGATGTAGAGTTCGAATCGAAAATTCACAACCGAAGCCACCGAGTTAAGACATGTACAAAAGCAGCGGAGTGTATTTACAGTTGATTACTTACTTAATTAAAAGACGTACGGATAGTGGATGTGAAACACCACCTCGAGGTACTGACATTTTTCACTACTAGCGCCGCAGTTCTGTTCTAACCAAAAAGATGCGCTCCTCGGATGACGGGCGCCGGGATTATTTGGGCCGAGAGTTACAAACATTCCATTTAAATTATAACTTTGTGGCAGTTATACGTAATTATTAACTGTTAATATTGAAATCAATAAAAGGATTCACTTTGATCTCAACGAGGATGTTATATGAAAATGAATGGATCTAGCCGGTGGCTGCTACAAATACTGAAAAACGTACGCCGTCTAAAGGTTAAGTAGTGCAAATATACGTATGTATCGCTGTTGCCACTACCCGAGAGCACTTGCAATTAGATCCGTGATACTGTGACCGCTTAGCTCTCTTAGACCGTTTAGACCGGTTAGATCTTTTAGACCGCTTCAGGTCGGTTAGATCGCGCGGACCTCTGTTTTATACGGTCGTTTATAACGCGTTATGTACGATACAGCTATTTGTAACGCGGGACCATCGCCATTTCATGGATATTATTAAAACGAGCTATTAGGCGATTTGCATGCCGACAATGGGCACGGGTAGTAGACGTGGCTTTGGGATAGGGGGAACTTCGTAGGCGCCACGTTAAATGGCAGTAAGGCGGTGTTTCGAGTTTTCTCGCACACGAGCCATAGGGAAAAGCTGCGGAACGCTGTGACAGCGGAACGGACGTAAAAAAAAATGAAAGAACACTTCGGTGATGTTAACGAAAGCTCTTTTCGCGTTGCTTTCGTCGAAGTCGCGACTCGAAATCGTTGCAAAGTATTTACGATTGGTTGCGTTACATTTTCGAAAATTAATCCGTACATTGCGAACTTTATGGATTTATTGTAGAAGTTAATATATGAGCCGTTTATTTTGAAAGTGGCATAAGTCACTTTACCGTAATGAAAAGTGGTGATTTTTTAATGTTTACACGAAATTATTTATCCTGAGATAACAAATACTTCTCGAAAGTTAGCATCCATATTTTTAAACGTGTTAAAAAACCTTTAAATATATCGACTTAAAAACAAAGTGACTTATGCCACTTCCAAAATAAACGGCTCATATGAAACTTCAAACGTACGAAAAATTCTAAATATATATAATATTGTTTATGCATTATTTTCAACTTATTGGATTGATTAAAGAAAATAGAGGATTCCTATTGGGCTTTTGTTTACTACAATTGCTAAGGAAAATTCTTATTTCACATATATTAAAAATTCTTATATCACATTGTCTATACATCTATATAATGTTAAATAAACAAGCGAAATAAATGATAAAGTTACTCTAAATTAAATTAATTCTGAATTATCTTAACAATAAATTAGGCCAATAAAACTTCGCCCTAAGCTCTTTTACTAATTCCGCAGTATCTGTCGCAAAATCTTGTTCTCCGTAACGTTTATTTTGTTCCCGATTGTGCGTATTTCATTTGCATGATCTAAAACAGTCTAGTAGCCAGCGAATAAATAATAATAATGACAATAGTAATACATATGTTAGTAAAAAATAAAAATCTTGTTTCTCACAATAATGAAAACGTGACTTACATCGCTATGATTTTAATCCACTCATTTATGTATAAAAGGCTTCGCTCTCAAGTGTTTGTATAAAAGTTTTGTTTTTTTTTGTTTTTGTATTTCATCTATACTTGCGTGACTGCTACCATATTATTATTCTCTCTCTCGTTCTCTCTCTCTCTCTCTCTCTTTAACTATAAGAAAGAATACGCCTCGATAATAAACGAAGTTATAGTTATTATTATTATTAGTTATTATTATAGTTATTATTATTATTATTAGTTATTATTATAGTTATTATTATTATTATTAGTTATTATTATAGTTATTATTATTAGTTATTATTATTAGTTATTATTATAGTTATTATTATTAGTTATTATTATTATTATTATTAGTTATTATTATTATTATTAGTTATTATTATTGCTATTATTATTATTAACAATATCACCGTGGATGAGCTGTTAGTCCATTCGAATTGACAATGAGTTAGATCAAATAATAATAGCCGACGTTGCCATTCCTTTCCTCGAGCGCACGTTTGTTTTCGGCTGAGTCGGGCCGCGCCGATTGAAACCTCGGTAGAGGCCATCGTTCTCTCTCGCCGCTAGAAACGGATCGAGTGTCGAAAAGAACGACGGCAAAGTCCGCGATCACGACCACGAGCACGGCGACAATGACGTTCTTACAATTTTCTATGCTCATATAGGAGAAACGGGCGAATACTCGCAAGTGTCCCGGCTTGGAGAACTTCTCGAGTCGTTACCACGAGATGGCAAACACGAGCTACGTTTGTACGCTTAATGGACTCGGCTTCGTTCAATCGCGACTACGTGTGTCTCTACGATAAAACTGTCGATGAATCAAACGTGACTAATAACCGATCGGCTTCGCTTTTCTTTAAACGTTTCTCTCGCTTATGCATAGGTGCGTGCTATGCGCGTACAAGTCTCTCTCTCTCTCTCTCTCTCTCTCGGTGAAAATTAACAAAAAAATCCGGTAAAACGTTAAGTCTTAAAACGGAAGGACGCCGAAGCTTTTAACGATCGAGAGAACGAGTCGCGTGGCACTCGGATTCGATCGAAACGGATTCGGTCACTGAATTATTTTAATTGCGTTCGATGGTTGCCAATGGCACGGCGGATTTTATGCATTCCCGAGAGAAACGAGCGGGCGAAATACGGGACAATGAAAACAGACGAAGATTTAAAAAATACGTTGTAAAGTACGTAAATGTGCCGTTTATCGATACGACAGCGGATTTTATGCATTTATAAGAGAAGCGAGCAGACGACGTAAGGAACAATGAAAACAGTCGAGGATTTAAAATACATACCGTTACATTATTTTCGACTTGTTAACTTCGTCAACGCAAGAAACACATTTGCATACGATTTTTCTGTTTATTAATTAATTTTTATTTCGCATAGAAACCCGCTGTCCAGTTCGCCAGACTCGTCCGAATGGAAAAGATGATTCGTTGTCCGAGATCTTTACAGTTGCGAGGGCGAGAACGACGAGGAGGAGGCGAAGGATGCTCATGGTAACGAAGTTGAAGACGAAGATGGAGAGAGAAAAGCGGAGGCGAAAGTGGTGACGAAGATGGAAACGAAGATGGAAACGAAGACAGTGGCGAAGATGGTGATGAAGATCGAAACGAAGATGGAAACGAAGGTGCAAACACGGATGGAGACGCAGATGGAAACGAAGACGAAGACGAAGACGGCGACGGCGTCGGCGACGGCGACGACGACTACGGCTACGGCCGAGTTCGTGTCACGCTCGTTGGTGGTTACCGGGACGATATCGGGGTTGGTGGTAGGAAGCTTGGATGGGGTAGAACACGAGTCCATTCGATTGGACGAGAATGTTTAGATACAACAGGGTGGGGATAGGGATGAAGCGAGTGCCGCAAAGTCGCGGGCTTATATAAACCGGCAACGAAGGGTTCAGATTCGCAGAACAGCACACCCCTTCGACGAGGCACCTATCCCGTCGAATTCGACGTCCCGTAAGCCAGGTAAGTCGCAAGCCGCAAGTCGCAAGTCGCGCACCCCCGTGTAGAAATATTTCTCCTTCTATTTACTATATCGCATTATTCGATCTGTCCGCGCCTGCCGATCACGTTAAACTCTGCGGAAACGAACGGAAATAAAAATTACTTTCGCCCCGCGAAGTCGGTTTCTTTTCGAAACGATAAATTCCCGTCGAACACGGACGCTTCCGGTCGGTCGGTTCGATTTCGATAAACGGATCACGTGTGCTCGTGATTGGAATCGTTACAAAACGGCGCATCGTCGATACCGAAATCACAAAAAAATGTCATCAATTTGCTAATCCGTAGTTCGTATTTGTTCCGTGTTACGTGTCATCGCGTTACGCTCCGAACGAATCTTCTCGACTCGATACCGAACTTCGGGAACTGTGTTCTCCATTCGCGTATGCTTGAAACGACAATTTGCGCCGGATGCAGGCCTCGATCGATTCAAATAAACTCGAACCGAAACAACGGGAAACAAACCGCGCTGGGAAACAAGCAAACGCAGAACAAAACGTCGGAATTGTCGCAACAGTGGTCGCAAGTAGGTCTGTCGCCTTTGACGAGACGGATTCACGACACGTGCGTTCCATCCGTTTCGCGATGAAACAATTAGCCGCTGCACTGACACGCGGTTTCGGTCGATGCGGATCATTTCCGAATGGCGGAATACGGTTCTGGCGGAGCCGAGCAACGAAACCAGGCCAGAGGCACGTGCGTGTTGCTCGTAATATTTTCAAATATTTTCCGGGCATTTTCGAACATTTTCGTCGCGCGTTCGCCAACTCGGATATACAACGCGGTGCCAATATCAGCTTGTGTCTACAGGGTGGTTGAAAAATCGTGGCGCAAAGTCGTCAGGGGGATGATTCTACATGAAAAAATAAGTCGAAGAAATAGGATAACATTTTGTCGTTCGAGGCTTCGTTTTCGAGATAAGATAAATAGGTTGAAAAAGTAATATTATATTATCGAATAGGAATCAAGTGGCATGAAAACCTGGCGGAACTTTAAATTTATTTTTCTCGAAAGCGCAGTCTTAAATGAAAATAAAACCTCTTTCGGCTTATCTTTCCATGCAGAATCATCCCTCGGCCGGTTTTACCACGATTTTTCATCTACACTGTATGTACAGTGGGCCACAAAAGCGTTCGTACACTTTCTAAAGCGCAATAACTTTTTTTGGAACTGGACTAAAGTGATTTGCATTTTTTGTTTTAGATGATAGAGGGATTGTTATACTAGGCAATGACCAAAATGTCTTTTTTAAATTTTGTTATTACTTGGAATGACAGAAAAAAAATAAGCTCTCGTTTCTTAACTTTTCTATTTGGACCTGTAACAAAAATTTAAAAAATGTCTCTCGCAGATTTCGGTAACTTATGTGCGTGCTGAAAATTTTGTCGAAATTTTGTCGATTTCTCTCGATTCCTCTCGATTCCTCTCGATTTCTTATAGTTTTTGGTTAAAATCGTGATAAAACTGCGATTTTAACCACAATGTCAACCGATTTCGATAAAATTTTCGGCATGCATACAAGTTACCGAGATCGACAAAAGACATTTTCTAAATTATCGTTATAGGCTCGTATAAAAAAGTTAAAAAACGAGAGTTCTTTTATTTTCTTTTTGTGACTCCAGGTAATAGCAAAATTTAAAAAAAGCATTTTGGTCATCGTCCGTTAGACTGGTCCCGCTATCATGTGAAAAAAGATTCAAGTCCCATAGTCCAGTTTTAAAAAAGTTAGTGCGTTTTAAAAGTTGCAAGAACACTTTTGTAGGCCACTATACAATGAAATGGGTGCTCTCGGTCGTAGGGCTCGTCCCTCGAACGTTTCCTCGCACACGTGCCTTATTCGACGCCCACGTCGCCGATTCCTTAAGTCGCCGATTCTGGTACGCCCTTAACGTCGACGATTGCCTGCGTCGGTGACGCGGCTGGAACAGAAGCGTTTCTCTGTATTCCCGATTTTCCCGTTCACTCGTCGCGAATGGAGCTAAACGGCTCTTTGATTCTCTGCCGACCTAAAAACGATTACTTAAAACGATTTGTCACCGTTTATCTCTCGCAACGCACACCACGCACGAACGTATCGATCACTGTTCGCCGCGTTTTGCCTTGTTATCTCGCGATCGACGACCCATTCGAATGAATCTGCGAAGCATGACACACAACATCGTACTCGTACATCGGTGAAACGAAATTGTTTTCCATAATCCACGGTGATTTCCTTTCCCCTCCTTCTTCCCGGTCTTCTTTTCAACCCTTGTTTCCGCGACCGTCAACGTCCCCGCTTTATTCGGCGGATAATCCACATGTCGGCGAACGACACGAGCCATTTATTATTGTTCCCGCCGATCCGCGCAGCCGGTTCGTGCAGACCCGACGACGCAATGCCGAGAAACGAAACGCCGCGAACGCCGTCAAGTTGTTGGGCGTCGGCGGCACGATGGAAAAAGGATTCCACTCGGAGCAGAACCAATGCTGTTATTAAGTAAACACCGGGGTTTGCGGTTTTATCTCTTCGATCGGGAAATGAAAATTGCTACTCGGCCGCGTACCGCGACCGCTGAAAGTCGCAGGAAACTCGATCCGAATTCGCCCGTTTCACGGAAAACAGTTCCCCAACCGAGCCAGTGTGTTTACGCTATTTTCGAAACGTCGGCGGACTAAAACCTTACGTTACGCGACGCGATACAATTTTCGCAGGACGTTTACCGTGGGTGTTTTACTTTCAAGCATGTAATTCGAGATGTTTTATCCCGGAGGAACTCTTATCGCGGCTTCTTTGACGAACAATTTTATCCTCGGAGTCTCGACGTAGTCTTTTATATTTGCCCTTTTTCTTTCTCTTTCTTTTTTCATCCTCTCTCGTCTTCCTCTTTTTCTCTCGCGCTTCCTCAAACCATTGAAACGAATATTTCGTCTTGGTCCGACAATTTGTCAGAGCTTCGCACGGGTGTACGCCCGACGAGTGCCTCTATTCCCGAAGAGATTGCATGCACGAGTCGAAGGATCGACGCAGCTGCTGCATCGAATTCGAATTTGACGCGCGTTCATGCCTTGCTAAACCAATCCGTCCCTCCGCATGCTCCTCATCGAATTCGTTGGAATAATATCCACGCTGGGAGGCCTAGAACAGAAAACGGAAAACTGGAAATGAAAGGCGAGGAACGGGAAACGAGAAGCTGGAAGCGGGAAGCGGGAAACGGGAAACGGGAAACGGAAGTCGACGATTGCGGTACGGAAAACAGAAACGGAAGACATAAACGGAGAACGCGGAATGGGAAACGCGAATTGTCGAACAAAAGATGAACAAGGACAACCGAACGGCACGGGAAAGGGGAAGCGAAAGCTCAGAAAGCTTAGAAAGGGAGATCGTAACGAACGGAAAGAGCAAGCAGGTGTTACGACGTAAAAAAACTCGTTGTCCGTTGCAAACGATTCCTCGTAGTCGACGCGTCGATAAATAGAGTCGAACGTCGGGGTCAGCGACGCGTTCAAACACTTCGAGCACGAATTCTGGGATATCGTCGACCTAGTTAGCACTCGTCCTTGAGGAAATCAAGTGCACGCGTCGGAAAGCAACGTCCAACATCAATTATCGAAAACGACGAATCCAATTATCCCGTGATACGGCGAATCGGCACGCTTAAAGCGACCCGTGATTGCCGCGCCAATATAAAACGCTAACTGAACGAATATCGAAACCGAAGGGCCGCGGCGCTGTAATTCGAAGCCAGCGACGAAATCGTTGCTGTCTTTTCCGCTGAAAATTTAACTGCTTGCAGACGCGAATTTCTCGTGGCCGCGATAGTTCACGCGTTTTATTTTCGCGAACCCAGAGAACGCGAAACGATAGTCGCCGGGCCGTCGCATCTCGTCGCACAACATCGCCCGAAGCATGCAACCTCTCGTTCCTAAACCGTGGCTTCAATAGTTTGTTAGTCGCTATGCTTTTCTCTAGTAGTAGCCCGCGGAACAAGAGAGACACGCTGCGCTGCCTTTCTCGTTTATTCCACTTTTTGTCCTTCTACCACCACATCCTTCTCTTGTTGCTATTGTTCATTTTCTTCTTCTTCTTCTTCTTCTTCTTCTTCTTCTTCTTCTTCTTCGTTGGTTTTTATTCAGTGCCCGATTGTTTTCGATAGTACAACAGACTGCAAGCATTGCGTAATAGAGCCTTTATAATCCAAACTTTTCCCAATTGTTGTAAATACAGTAACGAGCGGAAGTTACATTACTGATTAATCATACAGTAGTAATATATTTTACAGGAAATAATTGGATAAAAAGGGAATGAAAATTATTAGTTGATCATTTTAAATGAAAGCTTATAAGTCTCTTTCATTAATAACAAAAATATGCAATGAATATAATAAAAACAAGTATGCGACTCCATGTTTACAGTTTTTTTTGCACGTTAACATTTTTCGAAGTAATAGTATTAAATAAGTATCAATCAATAAACAGTATTAGTAAACAGTATTAAACTAATATTTTGTCCATTTCCTTTGTTGTTATTTATTGATTTTAGTCTCCTCGGCATACTGTCTATCAAATTACGTATTATTTCTGGCTCAATGCTGTATCACACCTGTTGTGTCCTTGTCCGAAGTTCGTGTACACCTGACGGAGCGTCTTGGTACTTTGCCAATCTCCTTTTTACAATTTTACAATTGACCATAAATTGAGCAGACCATTTTAAAACGGAAAATTCTTGTTTCGCGATCCAGTTTTTTACCAATTTCGCGGTGTGTTTGGGATCTCCGTCATGTTGGAATACAATTTCCACCTCCTTGTAATCACTAGATTTTATAGCTTTGGGTAGATTCTTTTCTAAAATGCTTAAGTACGGTTTTTTACGCATGATACCCTCTATTTGAACTAAAGGGCCCACTCCTTTATACGTAAAACACCCCCAACGCATGATCGAACAATTTCTTCCGAATTTCATTGTCTGCTTAACTTGCGATAAATTGATTGATTCTCCGAGTCGATTCTAATACCAGGATCTTCGTCAATACGATCTACGTCAGACCGTATGACTCGCTTACAGTCATCGGTCGTCCACTGATCATATAAATTAACAAATTCCTTTCTTGAGTTTATATTTTCATTCGAAAGTGCTGGCTTTTTCTTATTTTCCTTTGCTTTGAATTCAATTCTCCTTAAAGCACGACGAACTGTCCACTCGCTGCCATTTATACCGAGTTCTCGAGCTGCGATTTTTGGATATTTCTGAGAATCTAAGCGAATAATTCTTGCAATATTTTACGAGCACCTTGATCAGAAACAATTTGCGGTCTTCCATTTTTACTTGTTGACGGAGCACATATACGACATTTTCTTATTTTCGCCACAACTGGTTGCCAGATACTTGACATTCTTCAGCGTAATTTGTCGTAAAAAATATCCTTTACTACATAAAAGAAAAATAGAATTTTTCTTATCTTCACTCGACGGTTTCATATTGCCTTTCTGTTTCAAAATCAATACTGAACCGAAATAACGTTTACTGCATGCCACAGTTTATAACAACATTGAGGTATAAGAATGTCCGATTATAATTCATCTGTTAATTATTACGTACTTCATTTAAGTATTAGGCAGCGTGCAAAACTGTAAACATGGCATCGCATATCTGTTTACGTTAAATTTATTCTACATCGTTGTTACTGATATAAAAGAGACTAATCATTTTTCGTTTACGACTATCAACTAATAACTTTGATTCTATTTAACGGATTATTTAATATAAAATATACTAGTATCATTTGATTAATCAGTAATGGTAACGTCGTCCGCTTACACTTTTGCTCGTCACTGTATATTTAAGAGTACATGATTTCATGATCAAGTTACTGTCTCGTCTTCGACAAGTAGAATTATATGCATGCCACGCGTTTCCATAAATTTGGTATCGTTTTCAGATCAGAGAGCTACCACGTCCTCGAAGATGCAGCGAAGAATCGTATCGTTCTTCGTATATCTAATGGTTGGATTCATCATCGTCTGCTTCACTCCTCCGAGCGACGCTGCGCCGTAAGTTCTACGATGAACAATTCACCGTTCACTATTTTTCCGTTTAATCGCGGATTTATACCAGTGACGGAAACGTCTTAGATAAACGGTATCCGCGCACTTGTCAATTAGTCTGATTGCGAATTCCGAATTTCTAACAGCGATCGCCTTTGTCCGTTGCTCCGTTTGAGCGCATCGGTGTCCAAAGGTAGATTTCCGAATAATTATTTGCACGTAGTACATACCTAGAACAATATTGTGCGCACTGTGATCGTAGCGTAGTTCCGAATTGTAAGAAGGGAAACTAGTCAAAATTATAAACAATTTGGTGTGGCGAAAGGAATTGAACGAAAACGCGATGAGATTATGGTAGGCCGTGAAATATCAGAAAAAAAAGGGATACGGTATACTGTATACGGTATATGGCATACGGCATACGCCATGCACGCAAGTGAACGCGAAGACGCATCTGGCTGTATCAGAAAGTTTAACCCAGTTTCATTTGACGAGGCGTCGTTTAATGAGAACTGGTTCCTCGTATCCGAGAAAAGTAAAGACTGGTATTGTTACGACTCGTCGTTCCTAGAATCGTGCATACCAATGAGAGGAGAAGTTACAGATTCGATCGTCTCGTAAACGCAGCCAAGATGTTTCTGTCGAGCCCTAGTCTCCTGCAATTGGCAAAAATGCTATAATCGATTTTTCGAATGATGAAAAGTTGGTCGGCGAGGCAGTAAAAGATTCCAACGAAGTCTTGTTAAAACGTACGATCGTTTCGATTTGACAGGCAGCAAAATTATTGGAGTCAGTTGAACGAAGAGAATCCAGAAGCGCTTATAGATACGATAATAGCACGGCTTGGACACACTATAATGCGGAATCCAGAATTAGAGAAGTAAGTGGAAAAAGACATTTGAATTGCTCGTGAAACGAATCCGCGGATACGTATCGAAACCGCGAGTGTTCTTGATCGATCTATTTGCCGAAACGTTTTTCAGCAACAAACGGGGCCTGGATCTGGGCTTGAGCCGTGGTTTTAGCGGCTCGCAAGCGGCTAAACATCTGATGGGATTGGCAGCGGCGAATTACGCTGGAGGGCCTGGTCGACGACGTCGTTCCGAGCAGCCTTAAATCGAAATGGATTTCCTAGCTTGATCCGTGTAAATGTTCGCCCGTGTTCGTTCGTTCGTTCGTTACTCGTTACTCCGTTACTCGTAAACTGTTCGTCTATGCTCGTCTATGCTCGTCTGCGGACGCGTATGCGCGACTACGCTCCATGCTGCAACCCGTAACTTGTACGCGTTTTTGCGCATATCAACGCGTACTGTCCTCGATCGTAACCCATTCTCGTCCTCGGGCCTCTTAGCATAGGTTTGCTACTATGAGCAACCTTCCGTGTTAGATTTTCCCCGCGCGTACTATTCCGTCGCAAGCAGAAACTCGTCTCCGATGCGTCGCATCATCGTCACAATTTCTCTCCGGCATTATAACTTTTCTTACTACTTTGGAATTTCAACGCGATGACAAACGATTTCTGTAATTCAATTCTAGTCATTATCGAGTCTGTGTCCGTGTTTGCACACGCGCTGAAAAAAAAGAGAGACAGAGTGAGTGAGTGAGTGAGTGAGTGAGTGAGTGAATGAGTGTATGTGTGTCAGAGAGAAAGAGAGAGAGAGAGAGAGAGAGAGACTAGGAGAAAGAAATATATGCCTCACGTGGTCCACGTCTCACACCACAAAACCATCTCGTTTCGGTTTAGGAGTGCGTCGCACATCGCACATCATGCATTGCACCGCGTCTCCAATCGCTTTGTTTGTAAAATCAACGCCTGCGGTTACCTATGAAAATTAAATGTTTAATTGCAATTTAAATATATGTTTAAACATGTTCTTTCACTATCCTTTATCTGTTCATCGCGATGCAAATGCACCTGTTGATTCCCATTCCGATCGAGTACAATGTAATAATATGAATTTGAACGCGTCGCGCGATATCCGGCGGTACACGAAAACTGCCGGACACGCGTTTGCACGGTTCATCCATTTTGTAATTTTTACATTGAATTTCTCCTACGTATCGGATCGGTTTTTCGACGTTACCAGCTATTGTTCCATGCGCAAATGCGCGCGTTCCATATATGCACATACATACGTGTGTATGCCCGTGCAGATTACATACACCAAATTGGAACGAATGCGAATACGAATAGAAATACGAATACGAATGCGAACGTCATACACCCACTGCGCCGTTTGTCTTCGTTGCGAACGAGCCGACAAACGAGTGCAAAGCTAACGATCGTTACAGTTAATTGAAAGACACGAGCTGCGTTGTGTATGGTCTATCCGTTGCGTTTCACCCCTGCATCTCTCATACCTTTAACTGTCGATGTTTGGCGAATAAACTGTGTAAACACTTGTACTNCGATCGTAACCCATTCTCGTCCTCGGGCCTCTTAGCATAGGTTTGCTACTATGAGCAACCTTCCGTGTTAGATTTTCCCCGCGCGTACTATTCCGTCGCAAGCAGAAACTCGTCTCCGATGCGTCGCATCATCGTCACAATTTCTCTCCGGCATTATAACTTTTCTTACTACTTTGGAATTTCAACGCGATGACAAACGATTTCTGTAATTCAATTCTAGTCATTATCGAGTCTGTGTCCGTGTTTGCACACGCGCTGAAAAAAAAGAGAGACAGAGTGAGTGAGTGAGTGAGTGAGTGAGTGAGTGAATGAGTGTATGTGTGTCAGAGAGAAAGAGAGAGAGAGAGAGAGAGAGAGACTAGGAGAAAGAAATATATGCCTCACGTGGTCCACGTCTCACACCACAAAACCATCTCGTTTCGGTTTAGGAGTGCGTCGCACATCGCACATCATGCATTGCACCGCGTCTCCAATCGCTTTGTTTGTAAAATCAACGCCTGCGGTTACCTATGAAAATTAAATGTTTAATTGCAATTTAAATATATGTTTAAACATGTTCTTTCACTATCCTTTATCTGTTCATCGCGATGCAAATGCACCTGTTGATTCCCATTCCGATCGAGTACAATGTAATAATATGAATTTGAACGCGTCGCGCGATATCCGGCGGTACACGAAAACTGCCGGACACGCGTTTGCACGGTTCATCCATTTTGTAATTTTTACATTGAATTTCTCCTACGTATCGGATCGGTTTTTCGACGTTACCAGCTATTGTTCCATGCGCAAATGCGCGCGTTCCATATATGCACATACATACGTGTGTATGCCCGTGCAGATTACATACACCAAATTGGAACGAATGCGAATACGAATAGAAATACGAATACGAATGCGAACGTCATACACCCACTGCGCCGTTTGTCTTCGTTGCGAACGAGCCGACAAACGAGTGCAAAGCTAACGATCGTTACAGTTAATTGAAAGACACGAGCTGCGTTGTGTATGGTCTATCCGTTGCGTTTCACCCCTGCATCTCTCATACCTTTAACTGTCGATGTTTGGCGAATAAACTGTGTAAACACTTGTACTTGGCCGTTATTGTGGTAAATTTATACATTCGCTTTGGCAGCTGTGCGATAATTATTCGTTAAAAGCCGGATTTCGTTCTTAGCGAGAGGAATCTCGAGCGTGCCCGCCGATTAAATGGAAAGGATGATCATGCCATACATGCTTCGGATTACGTTGGACCTGGATTCGAAAAAACGAGTGAAACGATTACTGAACGATCAAGTACCGTCGCTCGTTGTTATTCATTGTTACACGCTGATGCTCGATGTTACTCGTGAAGCTCGCGAATCTCGTGAAACTCGCGAATCTCGTGAAGCTCGCGAATCTCGCGAAGCTCGCGAGTCCCGTAATTCCGTGATTCGTCGTGGGTCGCACGTCTGATCGCGGCTCGCGAATCACTGCAACGAAAAAGGTTGTGTATCTTACGAAATTCTACTAAACGATCCCGTCGTGATTATACAGAAAATCGACCTAATTTTGCACGAGTGCATGAAACTCTACTTACCGTACACAAAAATGGCAGGGTTTAACACTACAACTACCAAAGCAGTCAAAACGACCGGTTCTCCATTTCTTCCATTTACAGTTTTTTGATGTTATAAAAATGCATCTGTGACAAATTTTCAGATAAACCTCTTCATTCCTGCATATATTATTGTAGAAATCGTAGCAAGCTTAAATAAATCCAATCTCCTCATTATTATAAAACAATATGCATTTGTCGCGTCTAGGACTCGGTAGTTCTAGCGTTAATACATTAAACGATCGTGCATGACGCGCGTACTGTTTTGCATTCGTAAGGCTCATCGATGTCGGGATTGCTGCAATTGTATGTCGTAGGCAAGCTTCGATTACATTTGAATTTCTCTTATATCGATCGGGAACAATCTTGATTGATTTCAACGTTTTTGCGATGATCCTTGCAAAATTACGAATGAAACAACCGACAGTTTTGTTGAAAGTTACGCGATAGCAATCCAGCAGTCTAACAATCTAGTAATCCAACAATCCAGCAGTCGTGCAAAATCCGAACATGTGACACGACATTTATACTGATAACATAACTTTATTTACATTAGCGGTATAATAAACCGCAATTTAATTGATGTACATATACGGAATAGCTAGACAAAATACTATAATATTATTATAATATATATATATAATAATATAAAAATATATATAATAATATATAATAATATATATAATATTATTATATTATTATTATAATATACTAATACCAGCAAGACAAATTTGTCAACTATCGATAACGCACGATACGGAAATGGTAATGGAGCTACCGGAGATCGAAAAAACGCGGGACAGAAAAATACATACATTACATGCCCGGTCGACTAATACCGCCGACCGTGTCCGTGGTAATACGTGTACTCATTAGACTCGACGGCTGATGGCTCCGACTCAGCTGGTAACACCGCATGCCAAGCGCAAGCGCGAGCATGCGCTGGCGCAGTCTCGATTTCGATGTTGATCGCATCGCTTGTTCGCCTGTTTGGTCTATGGCCGTTACATATGCGTGCGGCGCCATGGCATATCGGCATATCGGCGGATCTGCGTATCGGCATGCAGTGTACAGTATACGCCGAACAATGAGCAACGAAAAGAAATCGAAATAAAAGAGTAGCGAGTATGTATTTATAGTCTTATACAACGTGTATGTACTTGGTGGCATAACTATACGTAATACGTATATGTAATACGGTAACACGATTACGTTGGTTCATGAAAAGTGGGAGAACATATCAATCGTAAACTCTTATCGCTTTTACTTTGTGACAGTTGAAGATATGGATAGCGGATTTGGTAATCGGTCATGTTCCCGTAATCGACAGAGTGTTAAAATGAGTGTTCGCGCGACCGTTTTGATTCTCGGAATTGCCATTGGTTCGATACTGTTTGCGTATGCGGGGTTTTCGGTCAGAGGCGACGCATACGATGAGAATTCGTTGATACTGCAAACGATATTCGTAAGTATGCTATGTTCCAACGATCCGATCGAACCTCGTCCGGACCCGATCCGATCCTATCAAAACACATCCGGCCTGATCCGGTCGTATCCTACACCCATCCAGCCTGATTCAACTTTATCGAAACTCATCCGGCCAGATTCGACTCTATCAGGCCAGATTCGATCCTGTCAGGCCTGATCACGACACGATCGGACTGAATCCGACTCGATCCGATTCGATTCAGTTTAATTGGAATTTCGAAACGCGAATTCATCCGGTGTTCGGTATTCGCGATTCATCTCCGAATATTGATTCGACTCCATTGATCGTCTGCAACAGGTATTCCGTCACGGAGATCGGACGCCAACGGAGACTTATCCCAAGGATCCTTATCGCGACCACGAATGGGAGGGAGGTCTAGGAGCTTTGACCAAGGTTACAGAATACTAGAGAAATCTGTTGTTAAAACCGTGTAGACGTTAATCGATTCGATAAGAAACGTTGAATTGCGAACGATATATGGGAAATGTTTAAAATTTGAAACGTGGTATCGTTGCTTAGAATGGTATGCGTCGAATGTACAATGTCGGCCAATGGATACGCGAGAACTACGGCTCCGTAATTGGCGGCAAGTACGAGAGCAAGCTGAGCCTGGTTCGAAGCAGTTATGCGGATCGTTGCTTAATGTCCGCGCAGGCTTTACTGGCTGGTTTGTATCCGCCGGCACCCGACGAAATCTTTGTAGAAGGACTAAATTGGCGTCCCGTTCCCGTTTCTTCTACTCCCCGGAACTTGGATAAGGTAAGTAAGTTTACACTCGCGATGCCCGACGATTCGACGGTTCGACGTCGGTCTCCGTCGCGCGGAACGGCACGACACATTTGTGAAATATCACGAAATTCTTTGGTAACGCGAACGCGGTGTCTGTTCCGAACGAAAGCTTTATCTGTATTAATACCGTACCCCGAACCGCGTCGCGATACGGACACTGACATGGATTACAGACTATCGTGGTCAAGGCGGCTTGTCCTCGATTGGAAGAAGCGTTGAAAGAGGCATACAGGAACGAATCTCTGCGGCCGGGTACTCCGTCGATCGAATACTATCGTCAACTCTCCCAGCATACCGGACAAAACATCTCCACGATCACCGACGTTGAGTTTCTGTACAACATTCTCGAAATTGAGGAACAGAATGGCTTGAAGCTACCCAACTGGACAAATAAATACTATAATCATGAAATGCGAGACATTGCCGCCCGTAGTTTAGCCATATTTACCAGTAACAGCTTGCAACAAAGGCTCCGCGGAGGTTCGACCGATTCTTTTTCTCTATGCTTTCTCTCTCCGATGCTTCTCTTTCTTTATCACGACATATTCGGAACGAATTGCAGGGCCGTTGCTCAAGGAAATTCTGAAGGGTATGCGTGCCGCCGTTGCCGGCAAAGACACCAGGCGTGTCTATCTTTACTCCGCGCACGACATTACCCTTGTTAATTTACTGCGGACCATGGGATTTACGAGCGAGAACTTTAAACCCGGTTACGGCGCGACGCTCGTCTTCCAACTGTACTTTAGCCCCGACGTTGCGGATAAGGATAACAGACACGCCGAAATAAAGGTACATTACAGTCGCATGTACATATAGCGCGAATAGATATATTCTGTGATATCGGTATATTGATATCCCGCGTATCGGTGTGTTGACCTACTCTCGCAGTGTTGCATTTGTTTTATTGTCGTATTAGCGTATAGTCATTTATTGAATCGATGCAATCGCATCGACCTACAACTTGAAAATCCTCCTCGATCGGACGATGCACGCGCTCTAAAACACTTTCGCTTTCGTTCGGTTCGTTTCGATCGGCCATTTATATGCTATTATTTCGCTGCTCTATTCCATTCTAAAAAACAAATTCTGTGTCCTGATGTTACAGTTATCGTACTTGAACGATACGGCCAAATTCACAACGTATCCCATGGATATACCAGACTGTGGTGAACCGTGTTTACTTGAAACCGCGATCGATCTATGGAAAAACGTGCTTCCCGGAAACTGGGACGATGAGTGTTCGTTACCATGATCATTTCAACGTGCATACATATGTATTCCATACATATTGTAGCAGAGTATGTATTCACATTCTCCTGAAAATTCATGTTGAAAAATAATTGGCACGCTCACCGTTCCAACAGCAATGTTACCAGGCACTTGCAGTTTCACTTTGAACCGATTGGCCGACCATCCCACCCGATAGATATAATGTGTATGCATTTCGATCCGAGCGCATGAAAGAGTGCGCGCAGCGCAATGCGATCAGCAGCGCAATGCGTTAGCAGTTAGCAGACCGCACGTACCGTGCGAATCAATTCTAATTCGAGCGAAGCTGGTTAAGATTACTAAATTGGCACAAAATCGTTTAACCAGGATGTGTCCGCGTTGCTTACGCAACAAATGACACTGGATGTTTTGCATGTTTCGTTACGCAATGCGAGAACGATTATTACAGTCCAGTCTTTCCGTTGAATTCAAATACTCGGACGGAAGATGGATCAACATTTATTGATTAATCGTCGACCGGTGCGTATAGTCTCGATCGACATGTATATTATCGTGTTACCATCATGGTCCACGTCCTCGACCACGTCCTCGACCTCGTCCTTGTCCTCGTCGTCGTTATTAAACGGCCGGATATATTATACACGCGTGCATTCGTACAAACGTTTCTATTCTGCATGTGTTAACGGATCATACGTCCTGCTTAACAGAAAATAATGTTTCACCGGGAGTACGTAAGAGAAGAAAAGCAATCTATGATTCATCGTTCGAAACCGCTCGTACGATTAGTCATCGTTGTCAGCGCACAATAATTTTCTAGAAAATGTGTGTAATTGTGCGTTAACTGTACTTTTTCGGGATAACGCAAATAGAGAATAAGGCAAATAGAGATGAACGTATGAGAATTATGGAACAAATAAACGTTATGCGTAATGGATAATTGTATACCATTGTACAATACATGCTTTACTGTAGTAGTCTGTTTAGTATGTAGTAAATCTGTTTAGACCTGGACTATCGGTTGTACGAATACGATAAGACCAGCGCCAACGAGAGGGCAGTAGAGTGATCGTTTCGAATCGGGAACCGTGAACGGTGAACGGTGATCGGGAAACGGTGAACGGTAAATGGTGAACCGGTGAACGGTAAACGGAGAATCACCAATGGGGATAGAGATTAGGGAGAACGGGGAACAGGGAACGGGAAAACGAGAGTCGTGAACGAGGAAAGAGAGGTGGAGGAAAATCGAGATGCGCAGTCGTATCGGTGCAGGCTTATCTACGACGTGCGAGTTCAGCGGTCGGATCGCGATCATTCGATCTCGCGATTGCTCGCGATCGACGCGACCGAACAGTACGACAAATTGAATAATCGACCGATAAACGGTACGGTAAAAACTGAATAAAATCAGGAACGATTCGAAATTGCTCGATAAAAGAGAATTGATTTACATATAAGCGTTCTTTTGTAGTTAGTTTCCTTGCACTTTGAGAATCAAGCAACGTTATCGACCGACGACATCCCAGCAACAATTGCACACGCTGTCAGTTCCACTGAATGATAGCGTTCGATCGCGCCCATCGTTCTATTTGTGTTTCATTTCAGTTAAGAAAAGAGGTTAGTTTCGTTTGCATTATACTATACGATTTTGTGTTTCTTTCCCGCCTACTTTTTCTTTTCCTTGTCGTTTTTTAATTTTCAATACATCACGTAAAATCTGGGACACACCTATATTTCTTCGAAACTTTTCCTATTATCTGTACGAGTCAAATCTAATTGCAGTCCTGTGGTTAGTTAGTTAACTCACGTTAGGCGTTGACTCGTTTCTACAACGTCATCGTAGCAGTTTTTCATGAGATGTTCCAGACGAAAACTAATTTCGATGTATTTATGGATTGTTTGCAGGATCGTCGATTGCGATCTTGTCTCGCCACAAGATGTTCAGTTGGTTAAATAGAGATGACACTGACAGACAAAACGTCTTCGAAAGTGTCACCGAAGGCATCAAGAAGATCTACAAGTCGAAAATGTTGCCTTTGGAACTACACTATCAGTTCCATGATTTTCATTCTCCTCAACTCGACGACCCAGATTTTGATGCAAAGCCAATGATACTTTTGGTGGGCCAATACTCTACGGGCAAGACGACCTTCATCAAGTATTTGCTTGAACGAGACTTTCCTGGAATAAGGATCGGTCCTGAACCAACGACAGATCGCTTCATTGCAGTTATGTATGATGAGAAAGAAGGCGTGATTCCTGGAAATGCTTTAGTTGTCGATCCCAAAAAACAGTTCCGTCCTCTTTCCAAGTTTGGTAATGCTTTTCTAAACAGATTTCAATGTTCTACGGTAGCATCCCCAGTCCTTAAAGGCATATCCATAGTCGACACGCCTGGTATTTTGTCAGGAGAAAAACAAAGGGTATGTATGCTCTAAGGATAAATAATATCCGTTCACTTGTTTCGCATGAACACCAGTTTTATGTAATTACTTTTATTCTGCATCAGGTTGACAGAGGTTACGATTTTACTGGAGTTTTGGAATGGTTCGCAGAACGAGTGGATAGAATTATTCTGTTGTTTGATGCGCACAAACTCGATATTTCCGATGAATTTAGAAGATCCATAGAAGCGTTGCGTGGCCACGACGATAAAATCAGAATTGTCTTGAATAAAGCAGACATGATCGATCATCAACAACTAATGAGAGTATACGGAGCGCTGATGTGGTCTCTTGGTAAAGTACTACAAACTCCTGAAGTAGCCAGAGTGTATATCGGGTCGTTTTGGGACCAGCCCTTAAGATACGATGTAAATAAGAGGCGAGTACTTTTATTTGCCTCGTATTACAATGCAATTCTTTTTATCGTACGTGCCGTTCACCTTTTGTATTCGCACAAACGTGTATACTCCGCGATCTTTGCCCAAAGAAAAGATAATCATATTTCTGTCGGTGGAATACTCAAACATTATAGTTGGATCGGGTCGAATGAACGTTATTGATAAACCGTTTATGCATATAGGCATATACGCATGAACGACTATATATTTATTAGGAACACAACATGCCGTTGTTACCCATAAAATTTCTCGTTCCAGATTATTCGAAGACGAGGAACAAGATCTCTTCAGGGATATGCAGTCATTGCCTAAAAACGCGGTTCTTCGAAAGCTAAACGATTTGATTAAACGTGCTCGATTAGCCAAGGTGAGAAAAAAAACACGAAAATCTGCTTATTGAACATTGTTCGGTCGCTGATCGATCGACGTAGACACTGCACATTCTATTTCACAATGATATCGCCTCTACGATACGAACTCAATAATGTACAAACGCATGTTCGACGAACCTTAGGTACACGCTTACATAATCAGCGCTCTTAAAAAGGATATGCCTAGCGTGTTTGGCAAAGACACAAAGAAAAAAGAACGTATCAAAAATCTGGGTCAAATCTACGACCAAATACAAAGGGAGCAAAAGATTTCACCCGGCGATTTTCCAGACTTGAAGAAAATGCAGGAATGCTTAGCTCGTCATGATTTTACTAAATTCAGCAGTTTAAAGCCTAAATTATTGGAAGTAGTTGATAAAATGCTTTGCGAGGATATTGCAAAACTCATGGACATGATACCGCAAAATGAACTCGGTACAGCGTCAGACTCCCTAGTCAAAGGTATTTTTTCTCTATATTATTCTTCTCTATTCTATATTCTTTGATCGAGATATATCGTGATATTTTTATGAAACGCAAGAAACAGAAAAAAACAGCTCACCGATGCCCAACCCATTTTCCTGCTTTACCCTCAACTACATACGTAATCATGGATTTCACAGAAAATCAGTATCTCGAGTGTTGCGATAAATTTCAATTACGCCCGATATAAAACTCGAAACAAACACGATCTTCTATTATATACGTAATTCATACCAAACGTAGTTATGAAAGTTTCTAACTTTCAAATTTTTCTTTCCCTTCTTCTTCTTCTTCGTTTCTCAACCTTATTAATTTTCAAATATTTTATTTCATCGACTTTTCATTGCGATCTTGATTACATTTGTATTATTTGCAATAGGTGGTGCATTCGAAGGAGTAGAAGATCAAGTAAGTCCATTTGGTTACAAACGAGGAGAAGGAATCGATGCTGGAGCGGGTGAACCAGAATGGATCGTCAATAAAGAGAGAGGAAAATATGACGACATTTTCAAGAGGCTTGAACCATACGACGGAAAAATCGTGGGCTCAGGTACTTTCTTATCATTCATATTTCTTTCTACCTGAAAAGATAATTTCGTGCAATATTCCAGCGTATACGTTGAATCACTTGAACGTCTTGCACAATTACGGTTAAAGTGTATTTGCTTTGACCGATAGTACGCTTTAATCAGTCTATACGGCTCCATCAATAGCGTTAATCTTACTTGTCTTATTGATTATTATCCTACTCATTTTCAGTCGCTAAAGCGGAAATGTTAAAATCCAAATTGCCGAATAGTGTACTTGGGAAAATTTGGAAGTTATCAGACGTTGACAACGATGGACTTCTGGATTCCGACGAATTTGCCTTAGCAATGCATTTAATTAACGTAAAGCTCGATGGGCATGACCTCCCTACGGTATTACCAGACCACTTGGTGCCACCATCGAAAAGAGATTTATAATTTTCAATTATTTCCTCTATTTTTGTAGAATACGTTCGCTATCAATGTCAATTCGCCGATACGTTTCTACCTTCAAAATGCTTCTTAAAATTTGAATTAATTTACATCGGTGACTCTACGTCACCTTTTATCAATCTATCACAATAATTCAGACATCACGATCAAATTACTCAAACAGCGTTTTGTTCTTTCCAATTATTTTCTTTTCCAAAAAGCACTTGAATTAGTGTCTATTTGCTCTTTAACCATTTCGTACCACATACCGCTTCTTATATTTTATCATTTCTATTCATTTAAATCGGACTATTATAAGATGTGCGAATAAGTTTCTCGTTGTTCAAACTGTATTCGAAAGGCATTCGAAGATTCCTATAACATATTGAATACTATATATAACATCACATGACACTCAAAGTTTCTTGCGCGTACGTAAATACTATGTATATACTATACATTGGAATTTAAGCATTAGGAATAACACATCAATAAGTGTATAAACTTTGTGTCTCTTTGGTTTGGCGAATTGTCTGTCTATAATCATATACATATACTCGAGAAGTGGCCGGAAATTCACAAAGAAACGTGTATGTATTATAGGTCGCAAATATTTCGCTAATATAATTTTTACTAAGATCATTAATTTCACTGTGTTTATCGTTGTTTTGCAGAAATTTAAACCGATTATGTTCGATATCGTCTAATCACCTGCTACTTAGAAATATAAATTTTACAAAAATGCTATCATTCGATGAATAGGGAACAAACTCGTTCCGAATAACCATCGAATTGTCACGTTGATCCGATAAACAATTTCTGTCACAATCACATTTTAAATTCCGATTTTTAAATTTCGCACTAGCATTCACGCACGCGTGTACACAGTTAATTTTTATTCAGAATAGTTTCGCATTTTCGACTAAAAGTATTGCAGCTTTAATATTAACGGAATTTTACGTTTCACCCTGGCGATAAATCATATTTTTACAATAGAAAAGACAAAAACATTGTGAATCTCAAAAAACAGTTACATTTAATATAATATTTAATTTATTGACATAGCCAAATTATATCTGGAAAAAGTGGTCACATCGTATCGCTTCGCATTTTATTAGCACTGCCTCCGCATAATGCGTTCTTATGTGATATAGAAACAAAACAAATATTTTTAGATTTTAATTCATATACAATAGAGAGTAATTTGCAACGTGTATAGTAAATTTAATCAAATCATACTGTTCGAGAGGAATCATTCTATCAAAGGATCAAATTCCCTATTTGGAACATGTTTCTACTGAGAATGAGAAAAGTTTCCTCTTTAGTCTTCCCTCGGTCAGTATGGGCACTTTGTGAGTCATTCCTGTCCACGAAAAATTGTTTCCGACACACAGTTTTCACTTTTTAACGTGCCGTATTGTATTTTCATGTTATCCATCCGTATAGATTGCGTTGTAATACGATTGATAAACGTATGTATGATACAATGACACAACAGAGACTTAGTAGAAAGAACTGCGTACATACTCTGCGTTCGCGGAATTTTGGACAGAATTAGTATTGTGACTGGTTGATACGAACCGATCCCAGATCACTTCACGCGAAAACACAAAATATTTAATAACAATACGATTACTTTTTGTAACGACAACACAATCTACTCATACTGTTCTATTTATACATATTTGGAATACATATTTGGAATCTACAAAATTTTGATTCCAATTTACCTTTTATATCGGTGTTGGAGTTGTTGCGATGTCGGTGACGTTTTGGTCCATATAAAGAAAAAGTTGAACCTTGTAGTTATTGTATCCAATTCTGCTACTATTTTATATGATAGCAGCTACATCAATGTACACGGTACACGATCGATTACGACATCACATTGTCAGTATCCAAATATATACATATAATGTTGCTTAAAAATATAGTTTGCTCGGCCATTGTATCCGCAAACACATAAATTTGGCACCAGTCACATTCATATCAAATATGAACTAAACTTTGCTTTCAGCAGAACTGGCACCAAATTGATATCAATTTGCTCGCAAAGTACAATACCAAACGTGACACGCTGTATGATCGAAGCAGATTTCGCTAACTGGATAGAAGCAAGAACTTTATTTGCTGAAAAACGTACAGTTAGAAGACAGTAGTGATACAAATAATACATACATTCTTATTTCATGCAATAAGCTGGAGATAGCCTGGTAACAACATTTAAACAAAAGTTCGACTATGTCAAATATTTTAGGGGACGATTCTACAAGCTAATTTAAAACGAAAAACAAGGACCATAATTATACTGTAACGCTTTAATTTATAAGTTATTAATAATTCGAGTTTCACGCGATACATCAATCGTTTTACACTCTTCTTGACCTAATTTAGATTCCTCTTGAATTACCGGAGGAAACAATCCGAGGAACTTTTAATTACAAAAAAATTCTCATTCTTGATCTTGATTTTTGTTCTACAATTATATTAGCTTACAGAATCACCCCTTGAAATATTTAACATTTCTAATCGAACACTCTGTCTATACAGAGTGTCCCAAAAATGTCTCGCAATCCGAAAATGGCGGGTTCCTCGGATCATTTGAAGCAGCTTTACAAAAATTTTCTCCGGGGCACTGTTAACGAGTTATTAACGAAAAACAGAGACCAATAAGAATCGAGTACGGCTGACGCGAGGCGGCCCAGCCAACCAGCACACGAAGCCCAGTTCCGCTCATTGGCTCGGTTGCCTCGCGCCAGCTGAGCTCGCCTCTCATTGATCATTGTTTTTTGTTAATAACTCGCAAACGAAGCCTCGGAGAAAATCTTCGCAAAGGAAAAAGTTGCTTCAAATGACCTCAGGAACCTCCCATTTCCGGATTACAAGACACTTTCGGGACACCCTGTATATATTTGATCAAACTTAGTACACTAGTTTTTGTAATTTTTGCCAACATGCATTATTTTCGAAGCAACGATAGATAAAATGTAGCTCCAACTCCTGCATGTTTTTCTTCCTCTCTAAGCAAGCTCTTCTATCCCCACCATTTTGCTGTGCATCCAATTTGTGACGAATTTTATCTTAGTATTGAATCGTCAGCCAATCAGAACAAAGCAATTTCTGTCCCCATCTTCAACTACTTAGTAAGCTGCAGTCCAGAGTGGTGCAAGAGTTGGAACTAATACCTACTAATTCCAGCCCGATTACAATTGGCAGCACAGTTATCATAAGCGGAATTACTTCATTTTTGGAACCTAATTACAGCACATTCTATTTTCGATTAAACAATAACGCGATGTTAACAAGATAATAGAACGAGAAAATGTTCCTTTTATGACTACGATTACCCGATTGTATTCTCTGTACAATGATATTAGTGTCAAGAGAAAACTCGAAGATTCAATGTCGTGTATTCCGGGCCTAAGGTTACAAACATTTGCATACAGTTTGTTCTACACTCGGACTTAGGAAATATACATATACAGGGTGTCCCAAAAATGTCTCGCAATCCGAAAGTAGGGGATTCCTGAGACCATTTGAAGCAACTTTTCCCTTTGCGAAAATTTTCTCCGAGACTTCGTTTGCGAGTTATTAACGAAAAACAGTGACCAATCAAAGGTGAGATCATTTGGCGAAAGATGGCCGAGCCAATGAGCGGAACTGGGCTCCGTGCGCTCGTTGGCTGGGCCGCCGCGCGCCAGCCGATCTCGCCTCTTATTGGTCAGTAGTTTTCGTTAATAACTCGCAAACGAAGTCTCGGAGAAAATTTTCGCAAAGGGAAAAGTTGCTTCAAATGACCTCAGAAACCTTCCATTTCTGGATTACGAAACATTTTCGGGACACCCTATATAACATATGTATGCTATTATGTACGTAAGTACATACATACAACTAACTCCAACTCCTGCTCCTTCCTGGACCATAGCTTGCGAAGTAGAAGATGGATACAGAAATTGCTTTACTCTGATTGGCTGACGATTCAACGCTTAAGATAAGTTTCACTGTGGATTGAGTACGCAGTAAAATGGTGGGGAACAAGCGTTTGTTTAGAGAGAAAGAAAAGCTTGCAATAGTTAGAACTACATACTATTGTACTATGTAGTACATATATACTTTCGGTATTCTATGCTGTGGTTATACATATTGTATAACCAAATTGCAATTGTAGCAAAGAGCATAAAGTATGTATATGTAGAATGAAGTCTACATTGAGTAGATATGGCCATATGGCCTATTGATTCACAATGTCACAGTGTTAAAAGAGTGGGGGGCAGCGTCCGAATTTCCCGCCCGATGCAGACTGGTATGATGCCATAGCTATACAACACAATGCAACCAAATACAACTGTGTAATGTACATATGTATTTTGTTCAACGGTTTATCATTTTAAACGAAATTTGCCGCTATCGTTATCGACTATAGTAGGAATGCGCTTGTTTTGGTTTGTGATTACAATTCAGAATTTGAAACATCCTTTACTTTTACCGTAAAGTCAAGATTCATAAGTACAAGGCAAGTGTAAAATTTCAAATTTTCTTCTGCATAGCATTACAAAAACGTCAACTAATCGTTTTGGAAAGATAATTGAGTAATTTTAGTTTGCTTATATTTGCATAATTTGTGCATAATTCAATATCAGATATATTGTTTATTATTATGAACCTAACTCTGTATATTACATTATATAAATACTTGTTTAATTTGTAGGGTATATGAATGGTATATGTTTGTTAATAGAACAACTGAAAAAGAAAGTGTGTGCAACATAAAACCATCAATAGTAAACATTTTTATTTAATAATTAATACAGAAAAGTCACCAAAGGATCTCTTGTATGTCTCCTATCAATACCTTGTCATTATTAAAAACACAAAGGGGCAAGTACATATTACAAAATGGAGACATCAAGAAAATTAAACAAGTTCATGATTTCCTCTAAAAACATTGATTCACCAAAGTCAAATTTATCTAATACCAATATATGGAAAGAACACAATTTGCGCATACATACAAAATCAAAACATAAAAAGGAGAAAACAGATTTAAAAAATATGAAGTTTCAAAGTACCAGAAAATTTTCAAAATCTCCAAAGATTGTACTAAAATTATCTAAATCTGAGGAGTTCAACTTATCAAAATTAAAGAGATTTCATTGGAGTAAAACAATATCGCCATCAAACAAGGAAAAATCTGGAGAAACTTCTCATCGAATAATGAATAAAACAGTATCGCCATCAAAGAAGGAAAAATCTAAAATTCCTTATTATTACACAAATAAAAAAATATCACCATCAAATAAGAGGAAATCTACAAATTTGTATAACACGGATATAGCTGCTTTCATAAGAGAAAACACCATAAAGGATAGCTTACTATTAAAAAATCCAGTAGTAGTGCTGCAAAGACTTCCGAAGGAAATTCCTTGCACATCTAGCCCAAATAGTAAAAGCAATTTTAAAAGGAATAATTATAACACGTCTAATACACAAGAAGAAATTGCTTTAGCAATAAGTGATGAGCAGGACAATGGAGTAAATAAAAACGAAACTTATGAACTCGCTGAACCTGAAACACCAAATTTACGCAAAATACTACGTGATAGACAAAAGACAAAATATGAGGAATCCAATTTAAATGAAAAAGTAAGAAAAACAAGCTTTAGAGAAAGCATGAATTGTACACATAAATCTGTATTACGATCTACACCCGAGATGAAGGAACTCACCAAGAAATGCAATCATGCAATGGTTGTGTTAAACCGAATCAAAGATATTAGCAGTACTACATCTGCATTTGAAAGAAAATCAGATTCTGTTACGAACAAAAACATTCCTGTCGTTAAATCTCTTACTCCCACGTCAAGATTACATGGCGATTCAAAGATTAAAAGAACTCCCTTTACTCCTGCCACTAAAAAGCTAGGTAAATCTTCATTGAACACTAATATGTATAAATATTTGGTGACATTTCTAGTAAAATAAGTAACACATTTTTTTTTCTCTTCACTATTTTATGAAACTGAATCAATTTACATAAAAAACAAACATTATTTTCATGTTCAGGTTTGAAAATTTCTGTAAGAAAGAATGTTCCACACTTCGCTGAAATTCATAAGAAATTATTTGATGAGCTAGAATCTGCTGTAGATGCACAACAACGACTGAAAGAGAGGCATAGAGCACTGAGTAAATATATCATAATCTACCCAAATTTATTATTCATTTTTCTTTTTTCATATTTCAACAATTTTCTGTTGTTATTTGTACAATTCTTTCAGCTACACCGAAGGCCAAAAATTTACCAATATCCAATATTACTCCAAAAAATAATTTTCTAAAATACAATTCAACCAAAAGTCGAATCCCTTGTAAGACACGGTTGAAGGATGCTACAAATTGTATTCAAAAAAAGGAACCAAAGGTAGAAATAATAAGGTAATATATTAAGAATAGTAGAAGTAAACTTGGAAAAATTTAAATATATCCTAATGTTTCTTATTGTTCCACTTCCAATAGCAAGCGTCAGCGACAAAACAGAGAAATTCTAAAAGGTGTTAGAACAAATCGACGTTTTGAATTACAAATGAAATCTAGAAATATAAAACTATAATAGTTGATCGGATAACAATATTTTGCTATTACGAATTATATTATACATGAATTTGTTTGTGTTTAGTGTGATCTAATCAATAGACTGTGCATTTTATGCATTTATGACGAAAGTAAATGGGTGTAATGAAAAACTGTGGAGCTGCTGAATGAATTTAAGAATATTGTTGTATCGTTGTTGATTTATGAAAATGATTAAAATTACAAACTTTTTTATTTTGCATAAAAATGTGCAGTCTAATCAAAGTACTAAATATCTTTGGGTACCAACACGAATAGTTATAATAAATAAATCTAGATTTTCTTACTACAGAAATTGTTACAATTAGTTTTTTTCTACTAACTTAACTCTTTTTTTCTTAATTTATTTTTACAATAGAATTACGATTATCCTTAATATGCGATTGTACTTGATTTCAATGTAATTAGTATATATATATATATGTGTAGTACACTGTTTCTCTACTAATCAAACGATGATTCAGTTTTAAAAGAAAGTATTTTTAGATAAAGCAATGAAACGAAAATGCGTAATAATATCCATACATCAAAATCTGCTCATTACAATCTCCTACTATTTGCATTATAAAAAAGCAGATGTAGATTCATCTAAAAGTAATGATATTCAAAAGTTGTTGAAAATATACCTTGTAATAAATTGGTCTGTCAAAAAATCACTGTGTTAGAAAGTAGGCTGTACAAGTCATGGAATCCAAGCATTTTTATGTCATTGAATGAATTTTCTAGACGAAATCGAGAGCAGAGCGTATTATAAAATATCTCTAGCTACAAATTTAACTATATTTTGTCTTAATTCTCTGATAAATAAAGCCGAAAAGTTACAACCCGTTCCATGAGAATGTTAATATCAAAATTATCGATAAAATAGAAACTTACAGTATCAACATCTGCTACAGCTTTAACACAGTGGCGTGAACTGTGTCAGAAAAATAAGTTTCAGAATTAGCGTCCGTTGATAATTTTAACCGATTCCTTCGAAGACCCATGGACGTACTTCGCTCTCTGCCCGATCAGCGTCCAACGAAATGATGATCACGGCCTTACTTAAGGTACACGACAACCTCAACAAATCAATCTGCTGCAGAACGCTGTTAGACACATGTTCAACAGCAAACTTTATAACGGTTCGGCTACCATTCGACTACCACGTCCATCATGATTCTAAACAAAATCACAACGTCGAGCATCCCCACGGTCACGGCAACGATTCGATCGATGTACGGCGGATTCGAAAGAACTCTTGAATTTCTTGTCATCCCCTACATCTCGGAGAAGGAGCCACAGCAACACCTTGACCGCAAACCTGTCAAGATTCCAGCGAACATTCAACTTGATGATCAAGAGTTCCACAAGGCAGCGCCGGTCAACATGCTACTTGGGACTGGCCCAACGCTCTCATTATTTAGTGTAGGACAAATCAATCTTTCTCCTCTTAATGGATCTGATTTATACCTGCAGATTGATGGCAGCGTTTGTTCTCCGACGAGCCGAGAACAACAGCAATCCACGTCTCCTGCAGATTATAACTCATTTACGCGATCCGGTGACAATTCAGCTTCTCCAACGAGCAGAGAAGCAGCAGATCCGCCAAACGATTCCACGCAGCGTCCAACCAGCCCAGATGCTGCAAGCGATTCAATACAGTCTTCGACAAGCCAAGACCACATCTCGAAGACAACATCTTTCCATGTCGCTCAAATTAAGTTCGACAGCAAGAAATTTTGGGAGATCGAAGAGGGACCACCTAAACCTCATCTCTCCTCAGAGGAAATGGCGTGCAAGGAACATTTCCAGCAGCAACCAGCATCATACGCAACAGTACGCAAGGGATGATGATGATTGATACTTGGGTGCTTCCAAGCAATATCATCAACTACCGCGAAAGAATTTGGTTCCAAGCGGGCTGTACAAAAAAGGACTCCTCCAGGAAGAAGCAGTGCCGTTGCCGCCCAGCTGGGACGACTTAGGACCTGAAATTGTGGTGTTTCCGTGGCGAGGAGGCGCTGTCTTCTCTTCCGTATCGTCCGCTGGCAGCCCATGCACCGGGACCATGGTAAAAGATCACAGGAAGGTTCGCACATACTTCCGACAAAGAGGACTTCCGACGTCGATCGTGTGTCACGGGAAAGAAAATTCTGACCCGAAACCGAAGGTTTGCCCTCTCTCCGGGTTTCACCGAATTACCCTTTCCCATCGTAATACATCCGTCAAAATACATCTAGGGTAGGTTCTGCTAGTACCTTACTGACGAGTCTCCACTAGCAACACCCGGACGAAACACGCCCTTCCTCCTCTCCACCTCTCCTCTAGTTACATGTTGTTCTGTCAACAACATACACCACTGCAGCAGGGGGATTGCAGGGGGATATCCACGGGAGGATTTGTGCGAGTGTGCTCTACAAGGAGCACCTAAACGAGATCAACATCCGCCACAAATGGGCCAGCGGCAACCATGGAATCGAGAAAGGAACCCTTATCATCATCAAGGAAGACACCTATGCAGTGGTCTCTTGGACGGGTTCTCGAAGTCCACCATGGCACAGATGACATCATCCGAGCAGTTACGATTCAAACTCCTCAAGGCATCATCAAACGAAACATACGACAACTTGCGCCTTTACCAGTCGATGTAAACAAGGATGAGTCAAATTGATCGGTATCCCCTCAATGGGGGGAGCATGTTCCGTCCTTCAACGGAATTTTCGTGCTGCGTCCGCCTAACTTACTCCGGGACGAATTACCTTTTTCTTTTATCCCTAAAAAACATTTATTGACGGGGAATCTTCGGCTCAGCGAGTCAACTTAACAGTTCTTCAACGAACGACGTGCAATCGACAAAAGGTCACGTTCGTTATGCTTTCAATTTCGTAGAGCCATAGCCTTCTTCATTGCAGTTTCTAAGTTTATGATTTTTTCGAGCCGTCTTCTTTCCGGCAGTAACGGCACTTTCGAATAATGCACACCTCATCGGCAGCATTTTTTGTAACAGGGTCGCTAGCACGCACCGCTTCAATCGCCCGTCCAGGGTTTCTTGCTACTTGCGGCACTGCGTACTACGTCACTTTTACATCCCCTTCCATCGCGTCACTGGCCAATCAATTTCTAGTCATCTGTCCACGAAACGGTATAAAAACTCGAAACCGTTCTTCTCTTTGTTATTCGTCAGTCTCCCACCCTTTTTTCCTTGAATCCTTATTCCTTCCTTCTTTACCCTTCCTAATTATTATCAATATTTATTATCAAAGTTTTTTGCAAATTTTCTTTGACTATGTCATCATTTACAGATACCCACTTCAAGCTGTTGATAACATTCACCTTAATTGCCCGGTAAGCCGGTAACTTCTGACAGGCACGGGCCTCCCCACCTCAATACAAAAATATAAAAAAAAATCTTTGTTATTCAGTCATTAGTCTTGTCTTCGGTCAATCAGTGTTAGTTAAACTCAGTCATTCAGGTAGATCTGATGAAACGAATGATTCTTGCCGAATTTCTTATTGTATTTTACGAACATAGCGGTAAGAATTATTCGTAACTAGAGTATATAGTGTTCATCTTTTACACATACTATTTCAAGCACACGTGGTAATACTGTTGTGTGTATAATGTCATAACCTCAAACGTGCGGCATAACGAGAAGCATAGATTTTGTATATTGTATTTGGAGGTTACTATAAACACTCTACAAAATGGTAAGTACAGTATAGAGTATATTAAAATAAATATAATTTGTCAATGTTAATAAAATCTGTTTCCTCTTTTTTAGGCAAGGAACGCAGAGAAGGCAATGTAAGTGTATCGGAATTAAGTTTTCCTTATAGTTCTGAACTTGAATTGTTTATAAGAGAGAGTGTTTACCATTTTAGGACCACGCTTGCTCGTTGGAGAGCAGCTCAGAGCAATGAAGGGGCTAGGAAGGAACAGGAGAGGAGGCCGTACTTGGCATCGGAATGTAGAGACCTGAGGAAAGCAGAAAAGTGGAGGATGCAAATAATCAGAGAGATTGCGAAGAAAGTAGCACAGATACAGAATGCCGGTCTGGGAGAATTTAGGATCAGGGACTTGAATGATGAAATCAACAAGTTGCTGAGAGAAAAGCGGCATTGGGAAGCACAAATAAAGGAGCTGGGAGGTCCAGATTATTCCAGAGTGGGACCACGTATGCTGGATCACGAGGGTCGCGAGGTAAAGAACCTAGACTTCTTCAATACCTTTTTTAACTAATGCAATGTAATAATATAAAAAATTGACACAGGTCCCTGGTAATCGTGGATACAAATATTTTGGAGCAGCTAAAGAACTGCCAGGGGTTAGAGAGCTCTTCGAGCAAGAACCTCCACCGCCTCCTCGGAAAACGCGCGCAGAATTAATGAAGGACATCGACGCCGATTATTATGGGTATAGGGACGATGACGACGGTATTTTGTTACCGCTGGAACGGAATGCAGAACAGAAAGCTAGAGAGAAAGCCGTGCAAGAATGGCAAGAGCAGAACGAGAAAAACGAACCGGAAGTTGAACCAGAGATAGAAATTACCGCGCAAAGAGCAATACCATCGCAGCAAGACATTCAGGAAGCATTGCTCGCAAGAAAGAAGCAAGAGCTATTAGAGAAATATGTACTTTGACAGGTTTTATTTTGTTATCTCTCCTTATGCGTGTTCAGTAATAACTATTTCGTAAGTTTATTCGTTTAATTGTATTAGAGTACACTTTTATAAAACGCGATAGATATAATAATAATTGTTATTTATTATTATTAGTAGTAGTAGTATTAATATTATTATTAATTTGTAAGTAATAACATTGATTAAGGTAATTACTTTGTGCAGTAGACGTTCAAACTTCAATTTAATACTTATCAAGAGAGATAGAGAGAGAGGAGAGAGAGAGAGAGAGAGAGAGGGAGACAGTGCTGTAGATAAAATATATAGATAAAAATTCAACCATAGTCTGTTTATAATCCTCGCGATCGTTACTCGTAAATCTTCCTCTTCATTTTCCTATTGGATCGACCGATTTAACGACATATTAGAATTAGAACACCGGAGAACAATGCAACTTACGAGTTAGCGTGAGAATTATAATTCGACGTGTACATCCATACGTCGTCGATAACTGTACTTAAGTAATAAAGATTTCAACATTCCCATACGTTCCCGCCGTCTGATCAATGTTATAAAGCGTTTTCAACCGAGTTCTTCTCGGTCGCCATGAACTACACTCCGAACAAAATCAATTGTCCGCTCAAGGCCATGCTTCGACTATCCGCATCGCAGTCTAACTGTCCCCGTGGATCGCATACTTTTCATTATAATATCTCTGATGAAGCTGTTCAACGAATTTGAATGTTTTCTACGAAATTACTAGCCATATAATAGTTAGAATTTCTTCTAAAACTTTTATCTTGGGAAAGGATTCAAATTGATTGAACAGCGTTACCAAAATTTTACTACTCCTCTATATGGTCACGACAATATATTACGAATTGGAAACAATGAAAGGTATAGAAATTACCCTGAAAAAGCGCCGTCCACCAATTAGCCCTTCATGACCTTGAAGTACACGAAATTGTCACTTGAAAGTGACATTTATTTAACGAATTAAATTTGTGCAATCAATTTCAACGATTCCAGAAAATTCTCAATATTTTTAACAGTCTTCGATATATACGGTACAGAACAAAAGTAACATAATTCTGGACACAAAAAGGGCTAACGAACAATCATCCTTTTCATTGGTTCCGTTTCTTCCTCGCACATGGAGGTGCGTTCTTTTATATAATCATCGTGATGCTTATAAACAGACCGTACCAATATACAATTCTCCTGTCACCAGGACTCAGAAGTGGAAAGTATCCTAATGAACGCTAGCTAGGATCTTGCTACGCTTTTAAAGGGCTTATCAAAGTAGACGCGAACGATTCGTTCGCACGCCGCACGTCTCTCCACCATGGTCTCTCGCGTTCCCGTGAAAACACTCGAAATCCCTCCGTTACGGGCATTGTGCGGTTATCCCTCATTAACGTCTCGTTTCTATCGCCACCGTTCCTTATCTCGTGCAACGGTTACGAAACATCGCTGAGCGAGAAGCCAACAGGAAAATGTGTGATACTCCGTAGCGTCTCGCTCTGTTCGCGCTAACGAGGAAAAACTGAATTGAATCGAGAGAGAAATTGTTGGGCACCGGAAACACGGCTTCTGAGTCCCTGCAAAATGACGTCGTAACGTGTTATTCTAAGACGTAAACGAGAGAAAGTGGAGGAGAGAATAGTTCGAGCATGGATTAATCATCGTTAATTACCTAAAACACTAAAGCTTGAAAAAGTCAAGCGTTGAACGATTCACAACATCTGTTATTTCTTGCTTGTTCATTATACATAACATATATATGTATATATATATATGTTATGAAATCCGTTAATCAGTCGCCCGCTTCGCTCAGTTTTTTATCAATCCCAATCTCCTGTAATACATGTATAAACGCGTGGATCGTTTACGGATTTCGTCTACGTTCTATCGTTATTCACGCGATACTCGTACATGTTTATGCTTCTAAACTCTTTGTTTTTAGTTAAAGTAATTATATCAACTCTATGATCACATCTGCGTTTACGGGGTGCGCTTTTGCGAGTTTATTGTGCGTCGTTTGAATTGTGAGTCTCTGTCCTCGTATATCGTCCCCTAAATGGCCAAACCCCTCAATGCCCTGATTGAGTCGCTCACACGTTTTATATTTACACATACTCATACACATCATACGCTCGCGCATTTCAAATCTACAGCGTTCCCCCCTTAGCATCCCGTTTCTGTTCCCATTGCTACAACGTGGGAAAACTGGTCGCACGGTGCCACCCAATCGCCTAGCCAGTAGAAAATAGAGTCCGCTGCTCCGTAGTGTTTCGCTGTGTCGAATCGTGGGACGATAACGAGGGAACACCGTGTTCCGCGCGAAGAAAGCGTCGGTGCGAATTTTTGCGCTCACGACGATCATCTAGCAGAGTCTAATGAAGCTTTATTTACGCTTCGAATTTTACACCGCTCTCTGCTTGCGTTCCGACACGTTCGCTGACCAGTAATACTGCCTCTAGTAGTAGCTTGTTCGGTGATTCCAACGTTTGAAAAGTTGCAAGTAGTCTTTTCTTAACGACTCTATCGACAACATCCGATCGCATAGGCAACCAAGCTTTAATATTTAAGATTTTCTTACTTTGAAAGCACGAATCGATGCTAATAGTGTTCGAAAAGTGGAGAATTCCAAGTAGTATTGGGATATTTTTCGAATACATGCAATTGTTGAAGAAAGTATGGCGAATACATGCTTGGGTATCCGGTTGCCTACACAATGGTGATCAAACAAGCGACTTTCAAAAACGTTGAGAATTCTACGTACAGTGTTGTTTTTATGAATACGAAATGAAAACAGCTTATCTTTCATTGCACCACGATTTGAAACTGTTGTTTTCTATCCCAAAACCGGCTGTAATTAATTCGGGTGGGGGTCAGCGAACGAGACCGTACGGAGGGAGCGGGGAACGCGTGAGAAACGAAAGAGTACACAAGAATTTCACAGCCTCGCGTTCCTCTTCGAGTTGTCATTGTTCGAAACCGGATAGTATCGGCCGTAGAATCATCGCAGTTAAGAGAACCCTCTAATCAAAACAGCCAAAAAGAGACGACATCTAGAACGTTCTTTTATCTCCTTTAAAACGATAAACAAACTTTTCCATTAAACTCTGTACCGTCGCATTTTCTAAGCGATGCAGAATGCAACGGAGCTTCTTGAAACCACAAGTCATAATAGTTTCAACATTTTTCAGTAGCTACCGCCTTATCTACAATCGCGGTACAAGATAAAGGTGATCGGTGCGCGTTTGAAATGAGGTGCCAAAAAATTCTATCCTACGAGGGAAAATTTACATGGAAAAGAGCGTGAGATTCGAAAGCGATGTTTGTAGACAAAGCGATAATGCTTTTGTTGTTCTAGTCTAATTGACTAATAAGTTGTATTGGCCATTGTACTTTCTGCACCACGAAAATTCTTTAATCATGGATAACCTACTCTTGGCGCGGGCAATCGCGAGGCGACATAACCTTGTTAACGTCTTGCCGCGCGACGTTACGAATATCAATATTTTCGATCGAAGGGTCCTCTTAAGGGGTTAAAATTCGCGGTTTCGCGAGTCAATCCATTCTCGAACCGTCCGTCGCGTCGTGTGTTCCGAGAGGTCAAGACTGACCCAGGATCCGCGGTGTCGCATCGGGTGTTCGTGATATCTGTTGAGAAAGACGGATAGGTGGACGACGGTAGGGAGAGTGATTTAAATGAACGTGAGAATTGTACGTTTTGTTTAGCGAACTCTCGACCCGGCTGTGTATCCCACGACGATTCTCCGTCGACAGACACGCGGCCTAAAAATGGTGAAAGGCACAAAGTAAAAAATAAACGATCAAAGTTGGCTCAGGCACATAATCGAGTCGAAGAGTTATTTATGCCACGGTTTCGTACTGTTTTTTTTCTTTGTTTCCCTTTTTTTCGTGGTCCTATGCCATTGATTTAAAACCGAAAAGAATGCTTTCCCGCCTACAACGTATTCTATAACCGAGCAATTTTGTTCATCTTGGTCACCTTTTCGTCCCCGACCTTCGGGCCAGGTTGCCCGGGTTCGTATCAACCCAGATCTCCAAAAAATTTATTCGCATCGTGACTATGCACGATCATCGAGCGACCGTGCTAAAAGAATTTAGAACAGTTAGCGCGATTGCGATGTATGTAATTGAATGTTCATGAAACTGTAGTTTTGAAGGGGGTGCAATATTATTGAGCACTACTGTAAATTGTCAACTTTCAATGATTAAACACTAGGTAACGCACATTTTGAAATTACTGACTTTAGGATAGTCTATATTTTATAGTCTACATTATGGACATCATTTGAATTTGGAGATGAGAGTGAACACGTGCGAGAAATGTATTATTAGAGACCAAGTGACCAAGATGAACGAGATACCTTTTTTTATCATGTATCCGTTTGTACGTGTAATTGTGCATGTACAGGGTGTTCGAGATTCAACCTGCAACATTACAACTGAATACATTAGAAAAATTTTTCTACAGACATCGTTGCAAGTAAAATTTCATTATCCCAACATGCTATGAACAGATTATAGATCATTGTGCGTTTATTGAATCTGCGAATTTGTAAAACACAAGGTTATGTCCGGTTTAACAGAAGGAATTCAAACCAAACTGAAGAAGAAGCCTATACCGAAAGAACGGAATTTGAGAGTAAAAATATCTTAGAAGATTTTCAACATTCTCCACGATTGCCGGTTGAAGGAAACACCCTGCGACAGATGCGTACGTGTGTGACCATGTGAAAATATGGTGTCTCGCGGTACTGCGCCGTTTAGTATGTCAATTAGATATACATACGTAGTATCGTACGCAGAAAACCACCCATAACTCCGTCCGGCGTATCAAAAAGGGGGTAATGTACTTGGTACATCGATAGAGAGTTCTGTAACTCGTGAGTTACTCGCGTGCGTAAAAGTTGATGACGACGTGGCTCTGGTTCGCAGGATCGACGACACAGATAGGCGTCAGGCAGTGGACGGGCCCGGTGGGGTCCAGCGGGACCCGGGCATCGCCTCTAAAAAGAGTACACGTATCCCTATCCAGTTGGTGGTGGTGTGTCGGTCTCGCTGTGAAACGATCGGTCGTGTTTTTTTGGTGCGTGGTTCAGCGACCGGTAACAGTTCTCCCGCAAAACTGTATCTCCGTCGATCATTGGATGCGTACCATGTCGTGTCCTTAGCGTAAAATGTTTCTCCGTGAACAGGAACTCTGTGTTCAGGGGCGCAGCAGCGAGTGCCAGCGCTGGACCTGCGTCGGGTAGCTCGCTGCTCTCATGTCGTTCCAATGCTGAAGCTCCTCGGGCCCGGAACTGTTCAGGCCCAGACTCAGCCAGCCGATCATCTCCCTCCCTTTCTTTCCCATGCTGCCCCTCCGTCGATTGTACACCGACAAGAACAGCGTCACGTCCGCCAGTTGGAACAGAGCGATCTGCACAGAGGAAACCAATCAGCGCTTTTCCGCTTGGACCTACCGAAACGATAACGTCTCTTATTTACTAGCTGATAGTCCGCTAATTTACTTCACGATTATTTATTTATTTATTTATTTGTTGGTTAGGTATAAGAAGATAACCGCAATTCCTTAAATTAATATGATAAATCTCTACGGACTATAAATCTCTATGGATTGAACAAATCAGTAGAGAAAACGCGACTGAGCTCAGTATTATATCCATAAGTTGTTCTATGTTTCTAAATATGAAGCAGTTCTTTGGATCTGAGATGAAATATTGGAGCATTCAAGTGAAACTTCTCCAATAATGCTGGAGTCCATTGAGCCCATATTGAAATTATAAAGCTGTTTCTATGAGAAGCGATTCGATAAATTACTTATAAATTGTAACAAGGTTTATCCTATTATTTTTATGGGGTAACACGTTCCAGTCTGCTTTAACGTTTGAGCAGAGCTGTGACTTATGAGATGTCTGGAAACACGAGTTACTCGTGAGACAACCAGCTATCCAAATACATACTCGGTTACCTATTGAAAGAATGCAATTGCAGAAAATGATCTCATCTGCAGAACCTAGAAGACATGCTTTGCATACTCCTGATCCATATTTATCAAACCCGAGATTTTTACAATCAAGAAATTAAAACGATATCCGAATGATGTCCACGAATTTTTTAAGAATCAGATCAGATTATAATCAAATTAAATTGAATTATACAACAAGTAAGAAGAATCTAATCTGTTAAAAATATGAGGAATAATAATTTTTATATCGTTTGTTGCCTTCTCGTTAATTAAGTTTTGCGCGTGTACACTTCACTTTACATAATAAATCATAAAATATTATAATTTTTACTATAGAAACTTCTTGGAAGCTTCGTATTGCGAGTAGATCCGCGCCTAGACTCTGTATGGTGTCAGTGGAACTCAAAAGACATCAATTATAAATCAAAGAAATGAATAATTACTGTTAAAATAGTATATAATAGCTTTTGTAGCTAGTTATAAAATCTTATTTATGAGATACTCGACCGCACGTTAGCCTGATGAGATATCCGGTTATTTTTGTTATCCGGGTGTCTCATAGGTACTTGAGTACTCGGGTATCTCATATATCAGGTCTAGTTTGTAGCAGTTAGCTGTTTTGATCCCCTTTCGCATGCACAGGCTCGGTCCAAACAGCGAGGAAACGGTACACTACCTCGAACACGAACGTTTCCTTGTAAAGAGGATTCGGCTGAGCGCGTTTCAGCCCGGTTTTCGAGCGCTCTATCACGTGGTCGTTGCTGTCCACAATGACAAGTTTAACATACGTATCCGGTGGCTTGGTGTCGTTGCCACCGCCGCCCCGGAAATGGGAACCTTTGATTATTTCTATCGATAAACGTCCCGTTGTCCCGTTGTACGACAAGCATATCAGAATCTCCGCCACGCTTCCGCCCTTCATGCTGCTGCCGTATGGAGGCACAGTGGGCGAGGCGTACGACTGAACCGACTGCTGAGAGCCTGTCGAATCGCTGCGAGTCAAGCTCCCGGTTGTCGCCCAGTCTTGTACCTTGAACATTACGTAGCCAAGTTAACTATATTTACACAGGAGCCTAGGGTTTCAACGACTGTTGAAAGCAAGACAGCTGGTCAGGGTTCTAGGATTTACCGAGGACGAAGGGGGAGTCTGCAGCGTCAACCACAGTGTCGTTTCGAGCTGAAGATTGATCTGATCGAAGGAGACCCTGGCCTCGCCGAGCAGTCTCTCTCGACGCATTCTTCCGCCCCAGAAGTAGACCCGCAGCCGGACTCCCATGGCGTTTACGTCCTCAGGGTTCACCCGAGGTAGCAGGAAGCTTTCCATGTACTGCGGGGACGAGCCCTGTCGCACCCGAGTTTTGCGGCGTTGCTTCCTCGACGGCAGCAGAAGCAGGCGAACTTGACTGCCGCCTATGCCTTCAGGGTAGTTACGTCCTTGCAGCACTTGTACCTGAACCGAAGAATAGATTCGCAAGTAGGAAAGTCTGACTCGGCAAGATAATAATATTCCAGTATAGTTCCATCCTGGAACGAAGTACAACAGAGACTCTCTTATCCGACGATTTATTTTTGTAACATCCTGTCATCAAAACATTCTATTGCCTAAAATTTTCATTCAAGTTCATCAAGATGATCATGGATCAAAATAATACAATGATTAGACGATAATTGTTCGTTTGGATACCAAAATATTATTTGGCGACGGCTGAAATGCTGCGTTGAGGAGAAAAGGAGAGGGAGACGTTTCGTCCGGGACCCGCTAGGGGACTCATCGGTAAGGCTATTCTAGCGGGCCCTTGCTTTAGGCGTTGGGATGTCGGTAAGACGGACGAAGTTTGTATAGATTTTCGGTAGGTAGCGTGAGAGACCTGACCGAATATATCACAATTATTGAAAACAAATGACATGTGTATATATATTCGAAAAGAGATAACTTCGGCCATATCTGGAAAGAAGTTTGGTTACGATTCGTTAATTTTTATCAGTTTTGTACGCCTTAGAATATGGTGGCAAATAAAGCGCATTATAGGCTTTTCTTTTTCCGAAAGGGCAAAAATGCCACACAAGCGGCAAATAAGATATGCGCTGTTTATGGCGAGGATGCTGTAGCCGAAAGAACTGTGCGTAAGTGGTTTGCTCGGTTTAAAGCTGGAAATTTCGACCTTGAAGATCAAGAACGCCCAGGTAGGCCGTCCGCCACAGACAAAGATATGATTAGAACAGAAATCGAGAATAACCCACGCTCAACATTACGTCAATTAGCAGGAACGCTAAATAAATCAAAATCAACCATCCACGATCATACGGTGAAGCTTGGCTCCAATATTTCAATGAGCTGCGTTTTAATTTTCCTAAAAAATCAGCACGAACTTTCCGGACAACCCAATATATACAACTTGAGACGGATCGGTTACTTGCGGGAACGAGGATCCATCTGTGGCTGGTCTGGAGGTAGCCGCCATATACGCCTTTGTCAGCGGATAACGATATCTAGACGGTCCTTTCCATGCTCGATGTTAGATTTCAGGAGGACGATTGCTTTCATTGGCCCACTTGACGACGATGCGCCGCATTTCTGCTGAAGCTGCCTGAATTTCTATCTATTGCGACTCGTTCGTTTTTGCTGTATCTTATAGGCATTGACACGGTCGTAAGGAGGAGCCTTCATTGCTCTACTCGACTTGACACGCGTTTTGATGCTGAGGCTTTCATGAGGCAGTGCTTCATCCTTGTCGTGAGCGCGTTGCTCGGACGGTTGCAAGCTCGTTGCTCGTGCCGTCGCCGTGGCGAGACAGTGAGTCGTCTTTTACCAGAATCGAGCCGTAGATGCTGCTGTCCTAGCATGGCCTTTTTGTAAAGTGACGCGTTGTCCTCGCGATGTCCGTCGATCTGTTGACGTCGTCGTAGGTTCAGGATTTCACAAAAATCCTGGATGCCAAGCGTCTCCGCAGATCGACGGCGATGGCCACACTAGGAGAGGGATTACGTAGTCTCGGCCTATTTCAATCCTCCTGGCGTTGATCCGTGCCCGTTGCATTACTCTCGGTTGTCGTGCCGTCTCCAGGTAGCGCTGTGGTCTTTTCCAGAAGGGAAAAGCGTTGTTGTGTTTGTCGTCGGGGTCACCAGTTTGGCGGCGGCTGACAAGACGGAGTTGTTGGAGAAAAGGAGAGGGAGGTAACGTTTCGTCCGGGACCTGCTAGAGGACTCATCAGTAAAGCTATACTAGCGGGCCCTTGCTTCAGACATTGGGGTGTCGGTAGGACATTAACTGTGGTCGTTAATTTGGTCGATGGATCGACTTCGCCGCAAATGAGGCTTGCGCCCATATCGGCTTCGACCTGCCAGATGGAATTTGGCCATCACTTTCCGGAGTACCACTGCGAGGGGAACCGATGACGTGATGTTCTGTCAGGATTGCTTGGAAAAACCCTGCCCTCAACTACGTGTATCATTGGACAAGTTGGATCTACCTATGGAGGAGGCGACTAAGCGACGGCCAGGGTTGTCCAGCGGGGACCACGAGGAGGTAAAGTCGCCGGCTTGCTCTACCGCTTCAGCATCAAAGTGCCGCCTGCTACTGCGGTCAGAGCTGATGTCGGTAGGACATAGTCTCTAGTGATTTTACGTGCAGCACCTGCCCAAAGGCTTATCCACACGGCCCCCATGGGCGCGGAATTGAGATACGCTCAATAAGCGCGCTCCCACATGCCAAGCCATGCAGGAGCTACCAGTTACTACGAGGACGCGGACTCTCGTCAGCAGACAACTGGTGGTGCCGAGCCCTTTCTATGCTCTACCGGCTCAGCAGGTCGGTTCCCGAGCTGAATACCGCAGCTCACCCGTCGAGGCCCCCAACAACTTTAGGGTGGGACATAACGAGGAGGGCGGGAAGAGGTAAGGAAAGGAAGGGAAGGAGCCTCTGGCCAACTTTAGCCGTTTACCACTGCCCCCTCGATGGACCTACCCACTGTCGGCCCGAGGTATCCCGGGTCAGATGGCCGGGACCTCGTGGGCACACCGACACCCGAGGTACCAGTATTTAGAAGGCCGACTGGTAGGACCTGTCGTAGCTACGCTACTACCATGTTTGGAGACACCGCATCTCCAGCACTGGTCGGCTAGCGCTTCGGGGTCGTGTAGTCGCTACTCTACAACGCCTAGTACTTAAGGAATCAGCAGAATAGGACCCGGAAAGCCGTATCCTACCCGCCTTTCTGCCTGTGTTCAGCGCCCTGCGCCATGTCGGTAGGACAGACGAAGTCTGTATATCTATAACTTGTGGCGAATCGGTTACTTGCAGGAAGAGGATCCATTAGTTAGCGGGTCTGCAGGTAGCCGCCACAATTACAAACATAAATGTTTGAATAAAGGAGCCTCTAGTGTATTTAGTCGAGTACCCTGACACGCACCGTCATCTCGCGCATGGGGGCATCGTACAGGAACGCGACCTCGAGGCTGCCCACTTCTTCAGCGACGGTGCCGATCGTCGTGATGACGTCATTGGTCGTCGGTCCATTTTGCTCGACCTCCACCTCTTGCTCGTTGTTCCCGAGCAGAAGACTGGGTGCCCCGACATCGACTACGCACTGGACAAAGCACACACTATCCGTTAGAAGCCAAGCGACACAATATGGAAACCGCTTGTGGGACGTTAACACGATGGATGCACCTTTATGGACAAGGGCCTAAGAGAATCTTATCGCTTTGTCAAACTCTTGAAAAGGATTGGAAACAATTATGATGTCGGCTTCGATTCTTGAAACGATTATGGAGAACCGAGATAGTCTCGTAACTGTTATGTGTTTTGGTTTAGATTCTGCAGAATCGATATTATACCGATTCTGTAAATGGTATCTTTTGGTCCTTGTGTAATAGACGGAAACGTTCAGTGGCCGCAGCTTGTCACTGATACAAAGTATTACAAAGCTGTGATCATATCGCACGCAGTCACGACTTCAAGTATTTTTTATGTTTTAAAGCTAAAAAAGTTAAAAAGTTAAAAGTTAAAAATTAAGGTTCGACACATCCATTATTTTCTCGACAGTCTTACGATTTACAGATCCTAACGGAGTTAGAAAAAATATTACAGATTTGCGTTAAAATTAGTTTTCAAATCTGGAAAAATAAGTCCAGATTTGTCAAGTGTTAAAAAAGGAAATACAACAATGCGTTTATTAACAGCTACGAGATGTTCGATTCTTCACGACTGTATCAATTAGAATCGATATGTAACAGTTTGAAGCGGTTATTTTCGCAACCTCTTCGATCCCTGGTCGAAACAGAAAGAACTGTTCAACCTGGATTGAGTGTTTCGGCTTAACCTTTTAGGTACGGCTGAATTCTGCGCGAGGCTATTTCTCTGGATGGCAGAGTCTGATATGTACTGTACAGAGTCTGATACTGTATATTCTGTCTATATATACAGGGTGTCCCAAAAATGTCTCGCAATCCGAAAGTGACGGGTTCCTCAGGCCATTTGAAGCAACTTCTTTCTTTACAAAAATTTTCTCCGAGACACCGTTAATGAGTTATTAACGAAAAACAGTGACCAATGAGAGGCGAGCTGGTTGGCTGGGCCAACTGGACTTCGCGCGCTGGTTGGCTGGGCCGCCTCGCGTCAGTCGTACTCGATTCTTATTGGTCCCTGTTTTTCGTTAATAACTCGTTAATGGTGCCTCGGAGAACATTTTTGTAAAGGAAGAAGTTGCTTCAAATGATCCGAGGAACCCGCCATTTCCGGATTGCGAGACATTTTTGGGACACCCTGTTGACTGTTGTAAATCGATGTGAAGACAAAGAAGTGCGAAACAATGCATATGAAGACGATTATTTGATTCAAACGATGAGCGAGTGAGCTACTAGAGCAAGCCACTATAGTGGCGCGTCGTCCACAGAGATGACATCCGTGAAAGCCACTATAGTGGCGTGTCGTTCTGAAAGATGACATCCGCGGAAGCCACTATAATGGCGCGTCGTGCCTAAAAGGTTAAACCTGTTACAGCGACACGACAAATGAAAGAACCGACGGGCATTGTTGTTCGTACAATGCGGTGCAGTGGGGGATTGCGTGAGAAATGCGCGCGGACGCCCGGGGACCGATGTAATTGTTTATGTGTACCAGCGGCTCGGATCGAGAACACGATATTCGATCGCGATACGTGGAAACCGCGTCTTCGCAGTTTAGTTCCTGGTTCACCTGTTGTTGATCGGTGGGGCTGTGCTCCTCCGTGCAGCTGCTGGATGTGGTTCCAGCGTCTGGAAAGTTACGCGACTTTATACGTATCCGTTTGGTGGACAGTTGGTGGCGACAGTGATCGCTACTCACCGACAATGGTTGGACCATCTTCAGCTTGTATGGTGAGAGTGTCCGGGGGCGGCGGAGGACGCGGATTCAATCGACGGAGGGCGTCTTCTTCCGAGTCGGATCTAGTCTCTGGATCCGAGTAGGAAAATGCCTTTCCTGCGGAAAAAGATCAAATGTTAATTTCTCTGATCATACAGATTTTTCTCTGGTCCTCGATATACCTGATGTCTCAGTTAAAGGAGGCTACCTAAGTATCTTTGTTATCTTTGAAGGTATCGAAAAAGTTTATTGACGAAAGTTTCTCAATTCGGAGAGATATATGATATCAATGTAACAATTTTTGTCGCAGCTGGAGAATTATAATCATAATCATGTATTTTTTTAATCATAGTTGATGCAACGACATTTTCTATTTTTCGATTCGACATTTTCTACAAAAAGGTGTTGACATATTTATATTGAAAAATGACTAGATTAGCGCAGGTATTCAGTGTTATATTATCCGATGAAAATACATTTACTAATCGTGAAAACTTTAACGTACATAATATGCAATTTTTTAAAATATCTGCTAACTTAAACAATTTTCGACATAAATAAATTGATACATTTTTGTAAAAAATCTCGAGCTGCATTAACTAACGTTTAAAGAAATATATGATTATGATTAAAAAAGTGAAGATGACCTTGAAGTCTTCGAAAATTCTCCAGCTGTGAAATAATTATTACGTTCATATTATATATCTCTCTGAACTAAACAACTTTCATTAATAAAGTTTTTCGATATAATAATATATTTAGTAATATAACAATAATAATAATAATAATAATAATAATAATAATAATAATAATAATAATAATAATAATAATATATTTAAATATAATACATTTAGACTTCTCGCCATTATTACTGCGATGTACGCTCGATTTGAGAAATTTATTCAATTATTTCCTATGAAAGTGACTGTATTGATCGCAACAATTTTTAAATGAAAAATTTGGAACCTGCAATTTTAATCGTCATGCTGGGTTCAGTATTCAATCCCTTGCTGTGCTTTAACGAATCTAACTCACGACGTGCTTTTAAGCCGGAATAAAATTTTGTTCTCTCATAATTAATATTTAAGTATTCAAGTAAACGTAAGTACACAATAAATGTAAGTTTCCTTTTTCCTCGAAGAAATTATTGCAATCGAAAAATATCTAATCGCTGACAAATGTGAATTGTCAGGTTGAAAAGATGGAAGCGTTACCTATGTTCTTCGCGATCTGAGAAGTGGAGCTGTTGTTGGACTCGCATAAGGGCACGCAAACGCCGCCGAAGAGCGTGGTCGTGGACGGCGGGGTGAAGCACCACTTCCGGGACAGGTACAAAAACAGTGCCAACAGTAGGAACACGAAACCAGCAACGGCAGCTAGAAACGCTGTCGCTTCTACAGGTACTGAAAACCAGGCGGAGACATTTTATTTCAACGGAATATTTCAAACGCGATCATTTAACCCCGCATTTTTTGCCACTCGGACAAGCTTATCGAAGAGTTGAATGACATTTCTTTGATGGGAATCGCAAGTTCCGTTCGTCGGGTACATTACAATAGTTTCATCTAAAGCACAAAGCCTGCTGCTACTTGGCTGCGCGCGCGTTTGTTTGTTTCCCTCCTCGAGTTAATTTTATTATAGCATAGTTCGCCTATGATATTTTACGATATCTATTTTCGTCGACGGGGGTTGGATGCGGCGGCGGCAGCCCTGCCGATGCACTTTGCCTTTTACGCGATTCTTCCTCATTGTTCTGCACTTTGTCATTCATTGATGCTCGAGAGAGTCGTTAACCCTTTCTGCAACGACAATAAGGGTCGCCCGTGAATCGGTGCCAGTGGGACAAACGTATGAACGATGAATTTATCGAAACAGACAGATTTTCTTTATATTGTTATAAAGCGTGTAACGACTAATTTGAATTGAATTTTAAACAGCTTATTATTGAAATGTTGGAGAATGTTTTATTTGAATTTCAATCTTCCGATTGGTGCAAAAACGAAAATGGTAAACTACTGCCGAACGCTACTGTACAATTAATATTAATTAATTAGGTTGCGTGCGACGTCTAAATTCTTTTGTGGTAGAAGAATAAAGGCGCAAGGGATGAGAAAAAGTGTCCTTCGAAAGGGCGGTTATTTATCGGGTACGGGAAAAGGCGTTCACCCGTGCACCCTCTCCCGCCCCTTACGACCGGCGGTCGTACGCGCCGTTTGGCATATATCGAACGCGTTCAAACACCGGCGACGCATTACGCCGTAACGACCTGGAATAATTAACAGTCGCTCCAATTGCCGTCGCGGATACCCGCCGTCCTACAATGCTCCAGATCAAAGAAACCAATGACATACTGCCAAAATGTCCACTAAGTCATTATTGGGGATATCTTTGCAAAATAAAACTTGTCAACATCAATTGCAAGACGTAGGAACCAGGCACAATTTTTTTCCTTCGTTGAATAATTTTACTTTATATATTATATATTATATATTATATATATATATATATATATATATATATATATATATATATATATATATCTTTTCGCTGGTTTAAGTATCTGCATAAAATCCGCAGACTAGACATTATCTGTTACGACTCCGAAAATGCTCAAACTAATTAAACTGAATCGAAATCATAATTTTGATCTGTTCTCCTTTGTTAGAGAGGCTTGAACAATATTTTATGACCATATTTTTTTGAAATACAATGTATTATTTGGTATTAAATAGCACCTTTTACGATACTCTAAAAGAATGCCAGCAAACAAGCAATATCATCGTTTACAACGTCCTTCTGGTTCAAGCGGTGTGTCGGTCCACTTTCTGTAAAGTGCTGCTATTAAAAAATATTTCCTGTCATTGTACACTCGGTAGAAAAAGTCTACGTACACCTGTTAAAACGGAATAATTTCTTTGGAAATTGAACCGAACTAGTCTTTCAGACAACGAGCAAGAAAGTGTTTGTAAAAATTGCAATCTTTTTATCGAAATAACAAAAAATAATAAAAGTTATAACGAAAATTTAAACGATGCATTTTGTAAACCTCGGTAGCACACTGAAAATTTCACCGAAGTCAGTCGACTTGAGTCATGAGCTACGAATAATTGAAGTTAGCGAAAATCACAGTTTTTCACTTTCGAACAAAAAGTGTGAGAAATTTGAAGATTTTTACATTTTTCAATGTTCGTAGACGTAGCTTGACTTCGCGTCAGCCGATTTCAAAAAAATGTTCA